ACCAATAAATCGTGGGTGCAACCCTCTGACTCGGGTTAAGAGGCTATTACAAAATTTTACTTGTTAATCGGCTAACGGCTTAACTGCCTATGACTTTTCTCGGTACCCTAGGTCAAGTGGTGGAACATCGAATCATCGATCAAAATGCCTTTTTTTTTTTTTTTTTTTCAAAAATTTTACCCAAATATCATGTGAAGAGTATTTTTTATCAGATTATCACGTGATGAAATTCGCTACGACTAATAACAAATTACATTCGTCATTAATTTTGTGACACGTGACATACTTTTGCAGAAAAAAATTGACTGGACTAAATTCGCTATCAGTGATAGCGAATTTGGTATTCAATATTGCCACATGTCACGAAATCATTAATCTTACGACACGTGATAATATGATAAAAAGTACTATTCGTGTCACATTTGGATAAAAAAATTATCATAAAATAACACTTTGATCACTGTTTCTCAACTCTCAAGTGATCTTTTGGGAAACTGGAAGCCCTTAGTTCAGGAAATTTCCCTTAAACAAAATCCATTCATTTTCATTTTTTTTAAATATAATTATACATCTTTTAAAGTTTACTTGTTTAATGCTTTCAATATAATTTAATTTGTAGGCTGTAACCGAAGATGGGATGATCAATTTTTTTTATTTTTTATTTTACCTTCTTGAAAGATTGGTAAATTGATTCAGCTTAACTTGTTATTTTTTGTTTTATTTAAGGGTTTGTTTTTTCTGCTATTACTGCAGATATATGTAGTAAACTCAATACGACGTCGTTTTGGGACGAAAATCATGATATTTTTGTAATTTTAATTTATTTCAGGGTGATAATAATCTTTATATTTAAATTTTTTAAGTTTTCAATACCAAAATAATGTCGTTTTGAGAATAAATACAGATAACTTATCTGTATTAACTGCAAACAAGTTATAATCTGTCATTTTTAAGCAAGTTAGCATTATCAACCTATATTTATTTATTTTTTATCGTTTTCTATTTTTTTAAGTGAGTTATCCACCAAAATGAGATGGGTTGACATTCCAACCCATTTTCTAAATTGGTCAACCCACTGAGCCTCACTTTTAGGTTGGTCTACAGTATGTTGGGTAAGTTAACTTCCATTATCACTTTATAATTATATATGTTAGAATTCTACGGATTTAATTATATTTAAAAGTAATTACAGAATGAAATGAAATAATAGAGATTACTCATTCTTTTAAGCATTGTCAAGCTTATTGAGATAAACTGTCAGAAAATTTGGAAAATAATAGTTGACCAACATTTTTCTTTATAAGAGAACATAATGAAGTAACTAATATTTTCATAATAATAGTAGATCAATATTTTCATTACAAAGATTTTCTACATTGAATAAATATAATTTTTTAATTTTTCAATTTGGGGGAATATTGGGTTATGAACTGTGACTCTACAGAGTACAGACTACAAGTACTTATTATTGAGCCGTTACTAGTTGGCAGGCTTTTCAGCAAATATTGGTTGTAAGTCACGTGCGTGCATGATCTGGTACTACTTCTTGGAATTGGAACTGAAAAAACCACACTGGGCCCCACAAAATCGTAAAGAGATTTCACTTCACAATGTACTATCCTGCTCCGCACCGCAGGCTAATAATTTCACCTTCCAAGACACGATTTCTTTTTTTTAAATATTACAGGAATACCGAATTCAGTACCTGAGACGTGCCACGTCATCCGTTTTTTAATTGGGAAGTTAAAAAAAAAATAATCCAGTGATAATGATAGCACGTACAAAGGAACAAAGCGCACCGCTTCAAATATTATTATTATTTATTAATTTATTGATAGATTAAAAAATTATTGAAGCATAAAAAATAAAAAGAAAATGACCGGGAATAAATATGGCGTGTCGGTGCCGACAGTTAAGGCACCGACAAGTTAACCGGAAATAAGAGGTTGATTACCGGTTAAGCAAGGGAAGCGCAAGCGAAGCTGAATCCCACGTATTTGTCGTCGGTGGGTATTGTTTTGACTTTCTTGTGAATCCGTTTTCCCAACGGGTTTTCGTTATTATGCAGATTTTCTCAATAAAATGATAAAGCTAACACTAATAATAATAATATAGTAAGACAAATATGTATTAAAGCTCCCGTATTTAAGGCATACTTTAATACGGGGCTATAGCCCCTCTTGTGTATCCCAAAAAAGGCATACTTTAATAAATTCATGAGAATTATGTTTATTATTGTTAAGGGATAGGTTATTTTTAATTTTTCTACCTTTGCCTATTTCTCTAAGCACTTTTAAATTATAATCTCATCAAATGGTGGAGATTTACGAAATAAAATAAATCACTTTTTTCTTTCTTTCTCCTCTTTGACTCCCACACTCTTTCTCTTTATCAATTTGTGTAATTTACAACCTGAATTTATATTTGAATTTAATTCAATGCAATGAGTAATTGCATGATAGTTCTGCTGGATGAGTATAATTTTTAAAATTTCTTAAATTTGATATAATTGAACACGGTAGAAACCACAAAAATACAAAAAAATAAATGAAAACCACGAATAATCCCTTCCAATGAATTAATCCACGATTACCATAATGTTTCTATTTTGCTGTTGAAATTTGAAATCCAATCAATTTATCTTCTTCTTATTACCTTGTTTTTCACCTTGAAGTGAGAAAATGATCTATGTTCTCTCTACGTTACTCCCAACCACAAGCCTACCTGGTTCCAAAACATAAGGCATCTGAATTTGTTTCTTCTTGACACCTCATTTCAATTTTTTTATGTAAATGCTCATAACAATAGCTGGGTTGGATGAATTGAGCAAAAAGCTTGCACCTTTTTTCGGTGTTGAAGCGTCATTGAGGAGAGAGAATGGGGAGGAAAGAGAAAGAGCGAGAGGCCATGGGAGAGAGAAAGGGGTATAAGAGTATATTTTATATCGTAAATCTTCATCATTGGATGAAATTATAATCTAATGATATTGAAAGAGATAGACAAAATAAAAATAGACAAAATAACCTATACCTATTTCCAAACACAATGCCTATGCTATTATGTTTTGTTTTTTTATGTTTATTATCCTTTTCACATCTTATTAGGTGTGAAACAAATTTTATTTGAACGACCAATTATGCTAATTTTGTAAGTGATTGAATCACAATTAAATTTTACTAATCTTTTTGATCGAGTTTACATTCTAATTATTTTAAAGTAATATGTACGGAAACATCTTAATTTTAATATGAAAAATAATTTTCTTATGTAATAGGAGATAGTTTTCTTATATTGTAAGAAATCGAAATCCGTCAATTTTTATTTTTTATTTTTTTAACAAATGTTGAACCCCATCACTTATTATGTTTATAACATAAAAGAAGCTACCTCGTGTGATATAAGAACAGAGAAACTTTTTATGCAGTTCATGAGTAAACTACTTTATGCAACAACGAAGTTAAGCTCGGAATAAACCAATTTTGTACTACTAGTTCACCGAAACAGTATAAATTTGAAGGTATATCATCAGAAACGCGGAAGCGCATCATACCGATGCGATGAGGAATGAAGAACACCGCTTTGATTACCTGAGATGAAGCAGCGAGCGTGACAGTTTCTCACGTTCTGTTCTCCTCCTCAAGCCTCACGATCTGTAGCAACGCACCACGAACGGTCGCAATTCCGCTCTACGGTTGATCTTCCAGGCTATGACTCAAGGGGATCAGGAAGTCGTGTGGGCAAGGTTGCTAAGATCGAGTGTAAAAACGTAAGATCGACCGATTTTACGATTTTTTTTCTTCCCACGAGTCAAATCGTAAGCTCTATCGTTTTGGTGTCTGATTTTATGAAATCGACGTTAATAATCGTAGACTCGTAAAAACGTGCGTTCTTGCGATTGCAGAAAAATGATGAACAATACGTATTCAGTTCCCTTCCTTCCCACTTTCCACTTCCCGTTCTACAAGGCAAAGCCCATCTGAAAAAAAGCCCACAACACAGTTGAAAAATCACAACTTTGTCTCACACTCTCAGTTAGCTTTTTTATTCTCCCCAAATCGAAAACCCTAAGCTCAAGTTGTGTGACACTGTCGCTGCCGCCGTCTGTGAGTTTCACTGGTGCTGGAGTGTCAAGCTGCTGTGTGCGACTGTGTCTGTGAGTCTCTTAAACTTTGTTGTTTCTGTTTATGTTCAATTTTAGAATATTTTCCTTTGCTGTCAAGTTTCCCTGAATGTCCGTTGATATATAGTTGTGGACCTGTTGGCTGTTGCAAGTTGCAACAAAGATGATAGTCTAATGAAAAACTATATAATCTGATTACTTTTGGGTTCAGGGAGAATTTTTTTGTGTTTGGTTTTTCTTCAAGTAAGAGATAATGATAGTTTGGTTTGGGGTTAAGAGGATATTAGGGAGATAATATCATTTTTTTCTTGAATTTGTTATCTCTTCTTCTTTATTGATAGTCATCGGATTTTTACAGACAATAGTTGGATAAAATGGCACATTGAATTTATTGATCCTTCTTCAAGTAAAAGATAAAAATCTATAAACTGAATTTTTATGGCTGAGTATGCTCATATATATTTGCAGTTATAGTCATTGAAATTGTGGACCGTATTTTGGGACCTTGATATAGTATATGTATGAGTTTACCCGTTGGAAGCAAATGTGTAGTGAGTCTACTAGTGACCATTTGAAACGACCATAAGTTGGTAGAATCTCAACTTCCTTTAAGGCAAAGAAGTTGTATTTGTAACAGACCATAAGCCATGAGTTGGTAGCATCTCAACTTCTTAGAGTTTTTTGTGATCTCACTAATTCCAATTTTGGATGAAAGTAGCGCTGTCAGGACACCTTTTTGGTTGTTCAATAATATCCTTGTATCTTATTCTTCCGCATGAATTATATGTTTCTTAAATTATACCCTGTATTTCACTAACCAACAATTATGTTAATATGTTAATTATTTGCTTATGATTTTTGTCAAAAATCAGCATTGAATATGGCCTCAAGTTATGGTGCTTCTACTAGTAATAATACTCCAGAGTCTCAGACAATTGTTGCCACCAATAAAGGAACAAAAACACATAGGAATGCAGCTGGAAATAGAACTGACATGGGATGGCAGCATGGTATACCACTTGATGAAAGCGGTAGAAAAATACAATGTAAGTATTGTAACAAGATTGTAACCGGAGGGATTTATCGGTTGAAACATCATTTGGCAGGAACCCAAAAGGATGTTGAAGCATGTAAATCTGTTAGTGTTGAAGTTCAAAAGCAAATGTGGGAAATTGTAGTCTCTTTGCAAGAAAGATTATTAAGAAAAACAAGCACACAAGAAGAAGAGCCTAGTGGAAAAAGAAAAGGGGAAGAGCCTATTTTCAAGAAAAGAGGTATAACTCAAACAACCATCAATAGCATCTATAAGAAGAATTTGAGAGAGGAAGCATGTCAAGATTTGGCTTTATTTTTCTACAATAATGCCATTCCATTCAATGTAGTAAAGAGTGATGAATTCATCAAGCATGTGAATCAATTTCAAGACATGGCTTGGGATTTAAGCCACCATCTTACCACGAGGTCAGAGTCAAATATTTAAAGATTCAGTACAATTTGACAATGGAGGCTATTGACGAACATAGAGCTCAATGGAAGAAAACAGGGTGCACATTAATGACTGATGGGTGGACTGACACAAGAAGGAGGACAATCATAAATTTTCTAGTGAATAGCCCTATGGGAACTGTTTTTCTGAAATCTATTGATGCATCTGACATATCCAAGACTGCTGATAAAGTTTTTAAGATGATTGATGATGTTGTTATGGAGGTTGGTGAAGAAAATGTTATGCAAGTTGTGACGGATAATGCAGCAAATTACAAAGCTGCTGGAGAGATGTTGATGGAAAAAAGGGAAAAGTTGTACTGGACACCATGTGCAACACATTGCATTGATCTGATGTTGGAAGATTTTGACAAGAAGATACTAGTTCACCATGAAACAATTCGGAGGGGAAAAAAAATCACAACCTACATTTATTCAAGAACTTCTCTTATTTCTATTTTGCATAAGTTCACTAAAGGAACTGATTTGATAAGACCGGCTATGACTCGTTTTGCCACATCTTATCTAACTTTGGGGTGCTTATATGGAAATAAAGGAGCATTGATAAGAATGTTCACCTCTAATGAATGGAAAACTACCCGGGTTGCAAAGACAAATGATGGAAAGCTTATTGAAGATACTGTTTTGGACAATGGGTTCTGGAAAAATGTTATGACTTGCTTGATAGGTGCTGGTCCTTTAATCAAAGTTCTTCGTATAGTTGATTCGGATGAGAAGCCAGCCATGGGCTTTATTTTTGGGGAAATTAATGAGGCTAAGGAGAAAATTAAATCTAACTTCAAAGGGGTTGAAACAAGGTAATTCAATTTTAGTCTCTGTTTAGTTTGAATTTAAATTTTATAGTCATTGTTTTCTAAACTAATTTCAATTTTTTCATTATTTAGTTATATGCCTATATGGGAAATAATTGATGGAAGATGGGATAGGCAACTCCATAGACCTTTGCATGCTGCAGGCTTCTACCTTAACCCGCGATTTCAATATCAGCCTGGATTCCAACCAAAATATGATGTTAAACGTGCATTATATGCTTGCTTAAATAGGATGGTGGTGGATATTGATACCATATCTACAATTGATGCTCAGTTGGAAGATTTCAAGGCAAAAAGGGTTTTTTTTGGTGATCCAATAGTCAAGGCAGCAATTGAGAAAAAAGCTCCAGCAGAATGGTGGGAGTCTTATGGGGATGATCATCCAGAGCTTCAAAAATTTGCTATCCGTGTATTAAGCTTGACATGTAGTTCTTCTGGGTGCGAGCGAAATTGGAGTGCTTTTGAAAGGGTAAGGTTTCAAGAATATGAAATATGAATTGCATTTCATTTCAACTCTCAAATTTCATGTTAATTACTTTTTTATTTGCTTAATTAGGTGCACACTAAAAGAAGAAACCGTTTGAAGCAAAAGACCATGAATGATGTTGTTTTTGTGATGGTTAATTCAAAATTGGCCAAGAAAAAGGCTTCTAGAAAAACTCCTGCAACTTATAATGTTGAAATTGATGATATTTCATCTGATGAAGAATGGATTATGGAAGATGATGGGAGTGCTTCCCTCATTCAAGAGTTTGATGATTTAGATTTGGAACAAAATGAAGAAGAAGAACACTTGGTTCAACTTCAACCTAATCCTATGGATGATTTGGACTTGGGATTACCAAATTTTGATGAAGAATTGCCTGAAGTTGGAGAAGATGCCATAGAAGATTATGATTATGATTTAAATGACTTGATTTGATAATTTAGATTTGAACTCTTTTGTATTGATGAAGGGGTTTAGTTAGGGCGTGACTTGTATTATTTGAATTTAGTAGTGACTTGGAATTGATGTTGTTGATGCTTTGATGGTTGAGTTTGAACTCTTTTATTTTTTTGGAATTATCTAACTTAAATGTCTAAGTTATTTTCATGCTTAAATTTGATATGATAATTTATGTGATTTTAATATTTTATATGTATAGGTACGATCTTACGATCTGTGTCGATCTTGCGATTTACGATCTTTTTACCCCCTCCCGATCTTAGGTAAGATCTCGATCTTAACAACATTGCGTGTGGGCAACCGTTCAGATGATGAACGTCTGCCTCGTTGTGTTTCTGATGTCTGTAACCCTATGAGGCACTAGAGAGAAAAGAGAGTTTATATACTCTGCCCAATTCAAGACTAACCCTAAGCTTCATGGGTTGAAATTAGTCTTTTGGGCTCACTCTCACTAAAGCTATTGGGCTTAAGTGAAAAGAGCATATTAAACCCAACAAAATTATCGTATATTTTCTTTTCTGGCATGGAAAATTTACTCATGTCATTTATTCCTTTCTTTGATATTCCTCACTCTCAATTTGCGTTTTTTAATAAATGATGTGTTACACGCCACGTAGATTTGAAGCTTTCACTTTAATACTTATTCTTTTTGTATATAATAGGTGTCTGAAGCCATTAGAATTTGTCTAGTGGTGAGAGATTTGAGTATGACGTATTAGATTATGTATTCAATTTCTATCTGTATCTAAAAAAAAGTGTTTCGGAGAGAGTACCTAGACTAAGGGCTTCTGGTCAACACCAGGAACATTACCCGACCCAGTACATCAAGATTAGTTCCATGTAAATAAATTGTCAATCAATTAGGTAACTAAGCACGTCATAGCTCATAGTTAGAAAAATATAAAAGTAATTGATTAGTCTCCATTTTTCAGTTTGAATTGTTGGATGAGATAATTATTTATAATGATATCAAAGTGAGAGTGTGTTAAAGAAATATAACATAATATCATTAAAGCCCATTATATAATAGCTAGAGCTATTGGATTGAATTGATTGCTTATCACCCACCAACAATCTCATTCCAAGTGTTCACATAGGCACTCTTGATTTACTCTAACAAGATTTATGTTACACACGAGTGTATGTACAATATAATATTGTTAAAATAACAAGTTAATGTTATTGCATTCTCTTGGATGTATTTAAGAGTTGATATTATAACCTATCATTTTTAAGGGATTTAATCATACTATAGTAAATGTAGCATTTAAATCACTAGATTTTGAATGATTATTTTTGAGATTTTAAAAAACTTTTAAAAACGGGTTTTCAAATTCCAAAATGATTATTATTTTCAAACATTCTTCATTTAAATTTAATAGTATTTATTAAGTTTTCTCTTTTTAAGAAACTTTTGAAAATATGAAGAGGACTCTGCTCTTTTTTTGACCAAGATAAGAATACATGAATTTAGTTATTCTATTTACACAAAAGGACACAATATATAAGATTGAATTTATATAAATAGATCAAATCTTGAATCTAAAATGACTCAGACCATGTGATAAGTAGGTGTACAGAACAGCACAGTCAAGAACACCAATAACAAAATATTGAAAAATCAAACACTATGTCTATATTCTTGCTTCTATAATAGCCAAGGCAGAAGACAATGTAGCAACGTTAAGATTTGTCACTATATTGTATATAACAAATAACTAATTTATTTTTTAGATATTGAGTATGAAAGTTCTTTGAGCATTATTATTGTTATTATAAAAACTTTGTTGACATAAATTTTCTTCGTTCTTTGGGACTCTTGCGAGTTGCGACATGAAGTGTGGTGGAGGGAAAATAAATGAAGCACGTGATAGTGTCACGTGGGTATACTTTTATATATATGTGAAAAAATCTAATTGGTAAAATAATTTAAAAATAAGCATTTCAATCACCGAATTAAACGCCGAGAATAGTGAGATGAAAGCGATGGTTACATGTGAGCTGAGGAGTAGGACGGTCTCTTTCATATTTTTTTTTAAAATTTTAACCAAAATTGCAATTGTGTTTTTCTGTATAGCCAAAAAAGAAGTTACTATTTTTTTTTTATTACAATAGAAAACACCTCTGAATGCGGACATGTGCCACGTGGGTGCCACAATGAGGTGACACAACGTGGGGACGACGTTGCAAATTTTAAATTTGCATGTGGCGAAATTATTTTGCTACCCTTTGTATTTTAATGATTTTGTAGGTTTAAAAGAAGGGCATTTTGGAAAAGGAAAACAAAGGGGTTGGGGTGTATCCCATTCAAGGGAGCACATCAATGCAACATGGGGGAAAAAAAAAAACAAAGGGGGGGTGTTATGGAGAGTGGCAACCCACTCCTTATCAAAGACATTGGGGACAGACACAACTCCAAAAGGGTTTAAAATAAAAACAATGTATTTATCAATCACAGTCCAATTATGAAAGAGGTCTAGAACAAGGAGATTAGGCTAAAAGTATACGCAACAGTTTTGGTGGGATTATTTTTTGAGATTAATTTAAAAGGTGTCATTTAAGTTACAGCACATAAGTGAGCTTTCAAACTTTGAAATATGGTAGTAGATTATTTTCAGTTTATGAAATGTGACTTTTTTTTTTGGGTCATGTGAATTGCTTCTTTTTGAGAAGGTTACATATTAAATTTTGTAGGCCAACCCAAGTACTGCTACTGGGGCAGCATTGTCTCAAAGCCCAAACCATGTTTAGAGTTGAGGTAAAAAGTTAATTAAGAAATCAACTTGGTCCACCCCACAACTAGAAAAGTGCCAAAAAAGAGAGGGAGGGGTAGACACACCTATGAAGCAAAGCAATAAAAATGGTGATGCTCAAATCAACATCAATGGAACTATTTGACTCATATGACCGACACCTTTCATTTTTTATAAACATAAATTTTGTTTCATAAATTATTTGAGAGCAGTGCATTTGAACTATAATGAATGATATACATATACTCAGACAATACTTGATGTGTCTCTATTCTCACAAGGAAAAAATGTGATATATTTCAGAAAATTTTATCCAAACTCAAGCTTCATTTGGATTATGAAATTTTGTTGTTCCTTTTTGAAAGGAATCTCATAAAGACCATTAATATACAATGATATTGATGACCCTCCTATACATATTGGGACAGAAAAAAGAAATGAAAACAACGTTTCATATAAGTAGCACTATCCATTTCCTTTCACTAAAATTTCACATGTAACATTCAGCATTTGATAATGGCAGGTTTACAAAGATCACGTTCAGCCTGCAATTTTAGATGGAAGCAAAGAAGGTGAATGTGCAAAATGCACGCTATGTGGTGTGACTGTTGATGGTTCGGTAAATAGTATGGTGCACTATCAGATACTATATATTATGCACAAATAGAGTGCTTACTTGAAAACTTTATTTGACATCTATTGCCAATCATCATCCATGGCTGTTGGTAATAATGGCACATATTATGTAGAGTGGTAAGGTCACCCTACCTTGTGATTTTTCGTATTGAGAGTAATGGTGATTGGTGATCAAAAGCTAGGCCTAGTAGTATGACATTGTCCAAGCCCAAAAATTATCTTTAATTTATTTTCTTATATTTAAATTTTTCATTTGCTATAATTGTAAGTTTGTGTACTATGAAATGAGAATACTTGTATTCATGGTAAAATAAAATTTCAATTATATTCATAAATTGTAATCAGTTTATAAATAAGTAAGGTATTATGCTTATTACAATTTATTTAATGTGAATAGCTAATGCATAGCACTCAGTTCAGGAGAAGGCAAACCAATTTTCAGCCAAAAGTCCAAGTTCAGGTCTTGTTTTGAAAATTGGCCTTAAATTTGGTCTGGCAAAAACATGAGGCCTAACTTTGAAATCCATGTACTGCTATTTTTCAACTTCAGTTTGGACAGTTCTCATTTGTGAAATGCCTAACTCCAATTTGAATGTCAAATTCAAATAGCAAGCTCTTCATGTTTCTTTTCCCACTATTTTGTATAACCATAAGAAAAGGATTACAATTGCTCCAACTATAGCATAAGAGTAAATAAAGTCATTGAATAACAAAATATTATTGTCGCTCTATTAATTAGAGTAAAGTTAGGAATATAATCCAATTAGTTTTTTAGGCACATTTGGATATGTAAGCAGCTTGAAAGGAAAAGACGATAGAAAACCACATACGTAATCCATTTCTTGTATCCAACGTCGAACCCAAAGGAGGGGCAAAGATCTGTGGTTGCCCCTCCTCCCTAAACTTTGACGTTTATTGTTATTATATATAAAAAAAGTTATTTTTTTAGTAGTAATAGATTATTAATCTTAATAGTTAGTCCATCGCTCAAAAACTTATGTAATAATAGTTAACCCCTTCTGCGAATCTTAATAATTCTTATAGATTTGATATTTAATTTTCGCCCTCTATCATAAAAAGTTCTTGATCCGCCACTGCTCATACTATTTTTCTTCTTTTCTACAATTTTGATCCGAGTATGATAAAAGCCAAAGGTCTCCCCATTGAATTGTATTGAATACTTTTTTTTTTGGTATAACCTGGAGGGTATCTCCATTCAACCTCCTCCGATCACTTTGTCCTCTACCGGAAGAAGGATGAGACTAATCTCCCCATTAGAGGAGAGAGACATATCCTCTGAGCTCCAAAGATTTTTCAAAAATTTGTTTGAGATAAGATTTGAACCTCTGACCTAAACAAATTCTTGGTAGCTCAGTTGCCAACTGAGCTACCCTTGAGAGTTTGTATTGAATACTTTTAAGTCTTAAGGACTTTGAACAACATTAATTAAGTTGCAAGTTTGTTTACAAAAAAATTGTAACTTAGACCAAAAAATTGTTTACAAATTCATTATTATTACAAATTGTAAAATTGACCAAAAATTATAAAGATTTGTTAGTTAAAATAAAAAGTCATTTTCCTAATTACTTTAATAACTTAGACCATGCTATCACACTCATGCATTCTCGATAACAAAGTAACGATAAAACAAGCCATGATGAAAAATAAGAATATGACTAAACTTATTATCTTAACTGTGAAGATAGTTTGGATTTTTTAGTTATGATATTCTCATATACTTTTGTTTTAGTGATTGGATTTCTGTTTTGCATATTATTGTGCAACATATCATTAGAGAAGAAATTAAGAAACAACTGCTTTGCAATTTCATTAGCCACTGCAAAAATCATAGGGAAACCCCGACCACAAACATCAGTTAGGATTGGTCTTGGCTGGACAAAATATGAAGCATGCAGGGCATCAAGTTCTATAATAACATGTAGCACTTCTCATCCCTAATTTTGTTTTTGTTCTTGTTCTTTCTGGTGTAGGAGGAGTGTCAACTACTTCCACTCCTCAAAGAATTGAATAAATTCCCAGTTAAAAATTATGGTTTCACCACAAGTGCTTTAGATGCATCCATATGATTGAGTCGGCATGTTCCAAGGAGGACTTCAGGGAGCTCATCTTGTGTGTTACCCTGCACAGTTTGTCACATGTGTGATTTCAGTATTATACCCTTCCTCTCACCAAAATTGTTAGCAATTATATATGTCAATGACCTTGGTATACTATTAATTAGTGTGACATTTAATAATGTTACAAAACAAATTGTTCAATGATCAATTTATTTAGTACCTGTATCAAAAATGCCATTTCTACCACCAAATTGTTCAGGTATCCAAGAACTAGGCTAGCCACCCCCCTTGCAACTGTTGAAGATCCAACGTCGATATCAAGCTGATAGATTACATAATTTAAATGTTAGCTTATAAAAACAAGAGTAACGAGCTGAAAATAATAATGAAATGTGGTTATTAAGGTGATTTGGCAAATGTTACCTCTAGATAGTTCTTCCCACGAATATAAAGTACTTCTAACGCTTGGCCTACCAAACATGCTTTCTTTCCAACACTTTGCTTGACTATCCACGATCCCTGTGAGAAACAAAATCACATAAGAATGCAAACCATTAGATACTCATCTTGATCCTCCTCCTCCTCCTTATTATTTTTTTTTTTAATTTGTGATTAGTCAGTGACGGAGCCACTTGGTTCCTAGCTTGTGTCTTGACACCACTTGATTTTCAAAAATATTACATATTTTCTATAAAAATTATGGTATGACCTTGGTATTGGTTAGGTTTTTAAAAATAATACAATATTAGTACTCGCTGAATTTTATTAGTTGAGTCTTTTGGCACTAACTGAGTCTTGTCCCTTGCTCCGCTACTGACTAGTCATTAACTTTAGAAACGTAGCTTAAATATTAGACATGTCATTCACCTTAGAAATATATGGTATCAGCTTAAATCTAGAGTTCCTGTAAGCATCATCTCCATCAACAAAGTTCTGCAGTAAGGGATTGTCTTCCAATGGAGTTTTCATCATGTAATAGAGTGCAATGGAATACATGGGACTTCCAGGCATCTGATCAATGATAATAGTATACATTAAACAATCTCCATACTTAAAGATGATGAATATAAAAATTATGATGAGGTCATACTCACTTGTATGTTGATAACAAAAAAGAATTCTGGACCACCTTTTGCTGCATATTGCTGAATAAATCCAAGAATCACATATATATATATAATAAGAAAAATTTTAGCAGTAATTTTGTGACAATAATTAGGGAACCCCTCAATTCTACAAGAAACTATACACCAGTATCAAAGAAAGGAAAAATAATGTACCTGAACTATGGAACCAGGACGACTACTCAAATCATCTTCTCTTGTGTCAGAACGGAGCCAATCTGCACCAACCATTTGCATCAAGGTGCCTTTTGCCTTGACCTGGAAAAGTGAAATTTTATTTACCCACCAAATTAGAAAATAAAATAAAATCATGTACATAACAGTTTGCTATAGTTTGAAACATTAGCATATAGTTTTATTGAATACTTTCACAATTAACAGACAGAATCATGCATAAGATTTACAGTTCCACTTGTACAAAAAAGGATTTGAGGCATAAAAATAATTTATCTATCTCTTGTGTACAATCTTTTTTTTTTTTTTTTGTATAGCCTCGTGTACAATCTTTGGCTAAGTAGAAAAGATAGTTTCTTAAAGCAATAAAGTCGTGGTGAAATTCAGTAAACTGTGCAAGCGTGCGTCACCATGCCACCTGCAGGGTGGCAGGTTTGGTTTTAGGTTTCATTTTCGGCTTTTACTCATCCGAGAATGATTGGTTTATAATTTTTTTTTACAAATTTTTGCAAATACACTATGTATTCTCCCCGGGAGTACATAATGTAGTTTGTAAATAAAATTTTTGTAAATATAATCTTTCTCTTACTCATTATTATAAAAGGTCTAGTCTGTGTCTATTAAAAAGATACAAGTTATGTCCTTTTAGTTTTTTATACTATGTCCTATGAGTAATATATAATTATAATATAAAAAATTATTTTTTTTCACTTTCCACATCAGCTGAAGAGAGAGAAAAATAGTTTTTCATATTATAACTATGTACTACCCGTAGTAGGTAGTGTTAAAAATTAAAATGATACAATTTGTATCCTTCAAAAGGACAAGCCTTTTTTCCTATTATAAAATTACCATTTATGATTTTTGAAAGAAATGATGAAAACAAAATTGTGTTGTTTTCACCATTTTATTTTATAAATTTTCAAAAATAATAAGAAATAAAATGAAAAAAGGTGTTATTTTTATTATTATAAATAAAAACAAATCAATTAAAAGTGGAAACATAAAACAAACTAAAGACCACTTTTTATATTTGTGAAGTATTCATCATTTCCAAATTCAAAAACCGGCTTCCCTCTGGATCTTAGGATTCCAATTAATATTTTCTAGAAAGGTAAAGCAATTAGGCGTATTAATTTATTTATTCTACATTACGCAACTTGCAAATCATGTTACTTGTGATTGTTACCAAAATCAAATGTTATTGCAATTAGGTTATGATCTTTCACTGTTTTTATGAATCCACTCTGTATAAGAGGATATCCGTTTGTAATTTTTAAATACGTTGTTGTGATCTGATATGATTGCTTACCTTTCCTCATACAATGACAAAAATATATTTCTACTTTAAGCACTAAAATTCTCCTGAAATCAGTTTTTTGTAAGCTGATTCCAACAAGGTTTCTTTTCTGGTCTCAATGCTTATCTTCAACCACTGTATCAAAGAATGCATCAAGGACCATTAAACTTCTCTAGAGTAGTGAAATGACACATTAGTAGGAGATTTCAATTGGTGCAACAGCAAATAACATATACTTCAATGTGTCCACATTTTCATGTTAACATGGTTCCAAACAAGGCAGATTTTTCTCAGGTTATGATGATGATCTATAGGAGTTGTTCTAAAACTTTCGGAAGTCATATTTGTGAAATGATATTCTTATATGGGATAATAGGCTCTCATGTTGCAGGAATTTGAAGTTCTTATGCAAATTATGTACTTTGAGGAATACATAATTATAATACTAAATTTTTTTTTATACCCCTTATAATTATGTATTCCGAAAAATACATAATTTTTTCATATTTTCTACAACTTTTAATATTAGAACTATGTACTCTCCGGAATATATAATTTGCAGAATAATTTCAAATTCATACACTTAAAAAAAAGGGACCTTCTTATATATACAAGTTCAAAATTGGTAAAATACCTTCTGATGGTCTTGTAAATAAGTTTCTCCTCGAACCAAAAACAAAGATGGATCAGAAGCAGCCCAGGTGCAGCGCAAAGCACAACTTGAATCTTTTAGAAGAGTGGCTCCATAAGAGCATGATGCACTTTCCTCCCTAGCTGCCTCTTGCAAATCCACATAACCCTTCTTCTGAACTGCAACATATATTCAAACTTTGGTACCTTTTTTTCTCATAAAATCATTTTAGAAAAAAAAAAAAAAAAGTTGCACTCATTCCATCCCAAAGTAATCTTACTGAGAAATTTAAATTATAAATAACAACACTAACCTGCAAGGTCGTGTAATTTTTTTACCAAACCAGCAGCTGATGCTATTCTGGGGTGAGACATAGCCTATAAATACCGTTAGTTTCAATTCCATCAACAGTTGATATTATTGAGATATATCAATCTTAAAAAAAAGGTCTTTTAGATCATAAATAACACAAAAATATGACAAATGCCAGAAACATAGAAGGCTTATATAGTCATCATATAGTTATATTGTAAGAAAAGCACCACTGTTCTAGACAAGTTTAGACTTCAATAAAATTATTAAAGCAGAAAAGCACAAGAGACAAATAGAAGGCAATTCTGAATCCATTTCAAACCAGTTGAAGAAAGGGTCTTGTTAAGGAAAAGTACCAGCGGTTCCGAAGTCAAGTCAGGGTGCCACTCATTCTCAAAGTTATCATAGTCCGTTGATTCAGGAACATCAAAGAACTCATCAGAATCATTCAATCCCATTAAACTTGTACGACCAGAGTGTTCTTTGTCCACCTCATCTTTCATTACAAGAAGTTCCTCAATCTTGCTAAGCTCAACTGAAATTTCAGTCTTAATATCCTCCTTTACACTAAGAGGCAACTCAATATCTTTTGTCATTATGATAGGTTCAGAGGGGTAATTCCCTGCTTTGGTTCTAAACAGTTCTCTTAGTGCTGCAAAAAGGATGATCATTGTAAAGACATAAAAATTTCATGCATAAAAATATGTAAAAAAAAAAAAAACTACATAGAATTGCAAAGTCTAACATGTAACTTTTTTTTTTTAGAAACTGATCCTAATTATTTCTTTGAGGCGAATCAGAACTCCCGGTATCCCCACGGGTTCGACTCTTTGAGCCGCCTATAAGACTAATCCACTAGACTAATCCACTAACATGTAACTTTATCATATATTAAACATACCTGCCACTCTCTCAAGCATACGAATGGTTATGGACCTTGCAGATGTGGGACGCAAATACAATTTCCAGAACTTCCAATCAACAGCAAGCATGTGTCTTACAACTGACTGTGTTCCTTTGTTAACAGGAGTAACTACAAATCCTCCACCTGTCAAACATTAAGATAAATATAAAATGCAATCAAAACCTCCATATTTATGCTATTTTTAGGGATAATTGTTTTACATTTGGTATTTGACATGATTTTAGGAAACTATTAAATATTTATTTCAGGAAACTAGAAAGTTATTGATTTTAGGGATGTGTTGATTAAGATTTGACTAAGTTTAAAGAATAATATCAAATTTAAAGCATACATTACTTTTAAGACAAGCTCGGACGTAGCCTCTCTGGGGTGGACACTTCATATGATAAACAGAATGGTATAGTAACACTGTTCAATAACCAAAGAATAAAAATTAACTGATAGGTAACAATCAACCAAATTAATACGGAAGCAGTAATCAATTGGCTAAATAGAAAGAAGAACGAATACGAGGATGACAAGAAAATATTATTTTTCTCTTCTGATTTTTATTAACCAAAACAACCTAATAACAACCTTAACTTAAATAGTCAAAACAAAACAAAATGGATGTGCAATTAAAAGAGATAACACACGATTAACGCACACTCAAATATAATCTTAAAATAATAAAAAAGAAAATAACTAGCAATTATTTTAAATCCCTAAATTATGAAAAAGCCAAATTCAACTCAGTCAGCTCGAGTGCGTCACAAATCTTCACAATTTAGCTTTAACATCATAAAACAGTACCATATGTGCCATCGTCCTCTCTCCTCCAGTATCTTCGTAACAGCAAATCTCGTGGTTTCATTCCCCTGTACATGAGATATAATGAAATGTTATTATTAACAACATGGTTTCTGTGTGAATTCTATGTGACAAGGTTCCACCATATCGTACCATGGTAGCCAATCATTGTAGAGCTGCAGGTGAATAATATCTGTATGACCATCAAGGTGATCAACCACATTGCCTCGATAAATACAAAAGTCCCATCTGCAAGAAACTTAGTAATTTAGTAAGACAAGTCTATAATCGTAGGAAATACAAATTGGTCCCTAAAAGAAATGAACTTGCTGATAATTTTGATCCATTAAATCTGTATATAAGTTAGATAACTTTAAAGATTGTTTTGTATAGAGGAAAACTATCGAAACCAAAGAAATAACCAAATTGTATATTTACTTTTAATTTTAAACATTGTATTTGCTTGTCTTACCTCACATGGTAAACACTGGTCACATTGAATATGACTTGTTAAGATATAAGAGATGGGACATGACTACGTTAATGGCATGTTTTTAATCTCTTTAACCCAAAATGACCCGGGAAGGGATAACAACCGACTCTCTAAGCTACTAGAATTCCTATTAGTCTAGTGGTGATGGATAAGGATAATTTGTATGAGGTTATAAATTTGAATTTCAGTGCCACCAATGTATAAAAAAGAAAAGTCTCTTTAGCATAAATTTCACTAAAAAGGATTTAATTTTGATAGTTTGATCCAAGTTTTACACTAATAAAAAATAACACATTAGGAACCATTTTCTGGAGTTGGCTGTCCCTGAATACAAATAATAATAGTGTAAAAAATTGTACATTCATCATGGAGCACATTTAAATTCTTTAAGAAAAGGCCACTAGAAAATCTCTTGGTGCATTAATATGAAAGTATCTGTCTATTGAAGGAAATAAAGATGACTATAATTTTGGCCAATGAAAGTAACTGTCTTTTCATGCTTTAAACGAGCATGGAAAGATAAGTTATATTCTTGAGCATTTGCAGTACATGCAACTTAATTTTTATACATAGGAGCATAATCAGATGATAACATGGCTCCAAATAAAGCTATAAATAGCAATTGGGACAACTTACTCTGATCTTGAGGGATCAAGAGACATAAGAGTATGGAAAATGGCCTCTGAAGTTCCATCAACCACACCAACTGCCATTATTGCCGGGTGATCACCCCAATGCTGAATACAGAAAACAATTTTCACTTTTCAGACAAGATGATCACGTACAAAAGTAAAATGTTACCGAGTTAGGAACAACTTACCCTTCTACGGGAATCCTGATCTTTGCCTTCTTTGAACATCCTTAGTCCTGCACAAGCAATGAACTATGAGATAAAGATTAAGCCACTCACTTATTCAAAAAAAAAGAAAAAAAAGATTAAGCCACTCCCTTATTCAAAAAAAAAGAAAACAAAGATTAAGCCACTATCTATGCACCAAGAGCTAAAGCTTTACCATTCTGACAACCAAAAATCTTCCATGGTGAAGGTGCAATAACATCAGAGGTCATGGCTTCGGTGTATATGTTTGATTGAAAATTCAAGTCAGAGTATTTCCAATCTGTGCTTTTTGAGCCTCCAAATCTGTTTAAACAACACTTTAGACGTTAAACACCCATGTTTTATATAAATATATTAATATAATTAGTGTAATTTTGTGCACAAACACATCGCTGCATGAAATGAATCAGTTTCAAAATAGCACAGACAAAAAGTAGGCATACAAGTATTAATCACTCCCTCAAAATAATGTTACAGCACAAAGGACTGAAGGAGTGTGATTATCTTCATTTGAAAGCATTTCACATATTTAGCAAAAAGAAGAAGAAGAAAGTGCAGGATTAAATATTGAAAAGAAGTTGATGTACCTCAAAGTCGAACGTCTTTTCTTGGAAAGAGTTACAAAATTCTTTGCTGGACTTGGGCACTCCTGAAAATATACAATAAAATAAGTTTCTTGTCACGAGACAACCATTGTACTCATTTAAGGAACAGAAGAAGAACCTTCAATGCAGCATCCTGCAGAGAGCGTATCCATTTTGCAGGTTCTTCTGAACTACTTGCTCCCAACTATAAATTGAAATTTAAACCATGGATCAATCGAGTGAATTCTTTTTTCTTTTTTTTTGTCATAAATATATTTGTTTAGATTTAGTTTGAACATACCTTAAGCTTATCCCTTTGATTTGAAGCATTATATACAGTGAAAATAAACAATACCTACACAATACAAACAGATTTATAAATACAATTATTAAATGCTCAAAGAAACAATGCAACTCCTTGAAATCACTGAAAATTGATTAGAAAAAAAGAAAATCCAATATTGTCATATTGTAACCCCTGGTTTCTTACTTTTTTGTTGATACTCTCTCTTCCATTGTCAGTAACCCGAATCTGCGAGTCTATTATAGCACTTCTAATTGGCTCCTGAAAATATAACGCTTTCATTTAGCACATTTAACAATTTAATCATTGCAACAATATCACACTTGTGATGACATTCATGCACTTTCTTCACCTCACAATGGCTGTTAAATATAGGAACTGGTCTTTTCTACTTGACATGCATAACAATATATTTTGCAAATTGAAAAATTAAAAAAATATAAGAACCTAAGCACGACCCAACATCATCAACAAAAGCCACTGAACACATAAACAAAGGTTAATATTTTCTCGTGTTACGCTGAAAAAATATTTTTTTTCTACACACAAATTAAAGGTGGAGTCCACTCTATACTTTTTTCTCTCCTCTATTCTCTCTTCTCTCCTCTATTTTCTGTATGTAGGAGATTAATCTTTTCTCATGTAACATGAGAAAAGATTAACCCCATAAACAAATACAAAACTAAGTTAAAAATGTTATCTATACACATAAAAAATGATAAAACTAGAAAATACCATTAAATTAAGGGAAAAACTATTTTTATGCTACATGAGATTAGTTTTCTTTCATATACACTCTTCTTCAATAATTATGTAACTTTGTGCTTTTTCTTTTTCTTTATTTTTTCAGGTGGTAAGGCCCACGTATTTGTATATGACAAATACAACTTATCTCCGTTAACGTCAAATTAATAACACTCTTCAACTAAAGAAATTGCGGAAACATTAGTTCATTCAACTTTTTAAATTTTTTTCTTGTTTTTGGAGTGCACCAAGCATCAAAACAAAAAAGCTAAATATAAAAATAATATTTATGAATCGGCAACAATGCTCCTGAATAAACATTATTCAATCCAATCAAAGGAGCAAAATCAGTAAATTGTTGACAACAAAACAAAAAACAAAAAAAAAAAACTTTTTTGAGAAATGAAAGATTTGACAGGACAATTTACCTCCATTTGTGAAGTGGGTTGCATCTTGAAGCTTCTGAGGAAATTTTCTTTGAGGATGAAGTACCTCTTACGTAAGTAATGCTGACCGAACCGATTGGAGCGAATGAGATAGAGCCACCCTTCCATTTTACCCTCACTCTGCGGAATACTCATTTTCATATTTCGTCAAAAACTACCTCCTGATTTCTCAAAATTGCATTTTGCAGCGTTTCAAACCCCTAACAAAGAAAGAAAAAGAGAGAGGATAAACTCACAGAGTCTCTGTTTTCAATGCAAATTCAAATGGAGACTCGTGCAGAGCAGAGAAAGGAAGGATCTTTCTTTCAAGGGGTGAGGAAGAAAAAGAAGAAGAAGATGATGATGGTGATCCTCTGATCCCGCAAAAGGGAATCAGAGAATCAAAATTGAGATGGCAGTGGCAATGATCTTTGTTGTTAATGTTGTTGTTGTTTTTCTTCTTCTTTTGTTTCCTATGTTTCCGGTTCAAGAATAACTACTTTCTGCCTGTTTTGCTGTATATTACATTATTGCACTTTTCTATTTGGCTCCAAAACCAAAATTTATGCCACTCCATAACCCAATAATCTCATTTAAGTTTTCTATAATTTGTAAAGGAGAAGGATATTGTGACAACCAAGTTTTGTTACTACCAAGTGACTACCAATCAATCTCACCGTTAGATCGCTTATGTTGATCCAACGGTTATATTTATTTTCATCTTTGTATGGTCATGATTCTCCATATTTAAAGTGAAAACATTAAATATGGGAAATCATAACCATACAAAGGTGAAAATAAATATAAAGTATTAAATTTGAAGAATCATGACCATACAACGATGAAAATAAATATAACTGTTGGATCAACATAATCGATCTAACGGTAAGATTGATTGGTAGTCACTTGGTAGTAACACAACTCGGTTATCACAATATCCTTCCCCATTTTTAAAAGCATTATTTTTTGGATAAACTACTATACATGTGCATTACCCATGCTATTTATTTTTGGAAAAAATGTTTCTACAATTAATGCAGATGAGTTATCTGCATTTATTTTCAAAATAACGTTGTTTTGATATTGAAATCTTAAAAAATTATAAATATAAAGACTATTATAACCCTGAAATAAATTAAAATTATAAAAATACTATGATTTTTGCCCAAAACGACGTTGTATTGGACTTACTGCATATAACTTATATGCAGTAACTGCAGAAAAAACAAACTCTTTATTTTTCTCTAAAAATTCATTTAAGTTTTGTTAATATATTTTGCTGCGGAAATCGCATGGAAAATATGGCTAAATGAGATTTTCTAAAAGAGTAAATCCTCCGGTTCTTGATTATAATTATCAAAATAATAAAATTCAACTAATAAGCATCCTTTCATAGATTAATTATAAATTGATCCAAAATTTTAAATATAAAATCTTAAAAATAAGAAAAGTTCTTAAAATAAATATAACGATAATTAACTATTAAAAATAAATAAATCATGTCAGACAAATCATAAATCACAAATTACGTTAAATGTGTTGTTTTTCTTTCTTATCAAACAAATCATAATCATATTTGCTGCTTCATTTAGATTTGGATTTGATTATAATTTGCTACATTTTAATTTACTGCTTCTTTAACAATTGGGTCATACTTATTGGACAATAATTCTAGTTGATTCTGGATTTCTTGAATCAATGGTTGGGTGATGCTTTTTTAACAATTGTGCCATATTTATTGGGCAACAATTTTAATTGTCTTTGGATTTCTTGAATCAATCATTGAACAATGTGCAATGGACAAACTGCAAGTGTATCATATTCGTAAAGTAAATGGTTAAAATATTATTTAAAATTAAAAAAAAAAATGTTTTTTTGATAGCATAGCATAGAAGAGGACAACACGGTAAATGAATGAACGCCAGCTATGGATGTCCTTGTTCCGTTACTTAATTACGAAGATGGCAGGTTGCTTATCCGACCCAAGATTTAGGTTGTTATGATTCAAAGCACAATCAGCAAACATGACTGGCGGGGAATGATTAATATAATCATTCAATTGATGGTAGTTTTTTTTTTTTTAAATATAATAATTAATTTAAATCAAATATTTTCAGAGAATTTTATTCTATACGTCAAATTGCGATGTGGTGTAGGTTATTTTTTATTTCAAGTGCAAACATCTAAATAAAGAGAGAGAATACTTGGGAAATTTTATGTTATCAAAAAAAAAAAAAAGAGAGAGAGAGAGAAAAAAATGACTTAGCAAAGAATCAAAATCAATATTACAAGAAAATAGATATAATATCCTATCTTTATTATTTATTATCTAATAGTTATTATGTTAATTAGCTAATTCTCTACTAGAAGAGTAACAAGTTTAATAATAATAGGGTTTTGTGTTTGTCATTTTAAATGATATAAGTTATGTCATTTTATAAAAGAGATAGACACAGAAACAGAAATCATGGGAGAGAGAAACTGAGAGGTTTTTTTTAATTTAAAATTCAAATTTTCTGTGTCTGTATCTCTCTTAAAATAACATAACTTTCTGTCATTTAAAATGACAAACATTTTTTCCATATATGCAAAAACTACTTTTTTAGAGTATTAATGGTGGAGAAAGAATCATAACTGACGTGAGATGAGAGGGGGTCCAAGGAATGAGGATGGTGACCCTTTTGGTTGCTTAAAAAAAGGAGTTTGGGATCCAAGTGAATGTGTTGATTCCTAAGTCGTTTTGAAACAGTAGACTTCATAAGCTTTTTTGCTCCTCTGGCTCCATCTCATACCTAATCAGTCTTCTTCTCTTACCTGGTCAAAACAAAAATTAAATTTGGGAAATCATAACCATACAAAGGTAGAAATAATTATTCATAATGGGATATAATATTGTGACACCCAAATTATGTTACACCCATGTGACACCCAGTCAATCTCACCGTTAGATCGCTTATGTTGATCCAACGGTTATATTTATTTCCATATTTGTATGGTCATGATTTCCCAAATTTAAAGTGAAAGCATTAAATATGGGAAATCATAACCATACAAAGGTAAAAATAAATATTAAATATTAAATTTGGGAAATCATAACCATTCAGAATGGGATAGGATATTGTGACACCCAAGTTATGTTACACCCATGTGACACCCAGTCAATCTCACCGTTAGATCGCTTATTTTGATCCAACGGTTATATTTATTTCCATCTTTGTATGGTCATGATTTCCCAAATTTAAAATGAAAGCATTAAATATGGGAAATCATAACCATACAAAGGTAGAAATAAATATAAAATATTAAATTTAGGAAATCATGACCATACAAAGATAAAAATAAATATAACCGTTGGATCAAGATAAGCGATCTAACAGTGAGATAGACTGGGTGTCACATGAATGTAACATAACTTGGGTGTCACAATATCCTATCCCATTTAGGGAAACAGAATAATTCCTCGCTCCACTTCATATTCTCTCTCTCTCGGTAAATGGGAAATCTTTTCCATGTTAATGATTGGTTTTAAACGGACTTGCATGGTTATGACGACAGTTGCATTTTAATTAGTAAATATTTTTTTAGTAAAAAAAAGGAAGAGCAATGCTATAAACATAATAAAAGTAAAGTAAAATTTTGACAAAAGAATACGATGGTTTGTGAATAAAATATAGTTATAAAATTTCATATTTTTCTCGTAACAAAATTTTGATTCTAATATTTTTTTGTTTGGGTTTAATGTAGAAAAAATTTATTTGTCATATTAAAATAAAAATGAATGAGTCCCACTAATTTTTTTTTTCGTCTTCTCCTTACAATGGACTATATTCATTTTTATATAAGTGTGACATAAAAAACAATTTACAGTAAAAACAGAAATATTTTTTCCTTTTTTTTTTTATTGTTTTACGTTTTGATGGGATATTTTGATAATTTTTTATTTTGTTTCATAGGAAATATTTTGAGGGGTTTTAGTTTGAATTATATTGATATTTAGATTCTATGAGCTTGTAATTTAATTACTATTTACGCAACCTCTTAAAATTTGACTTATATTGATATCCCTTTACAAGGATATGTAAAGATCAACACTAAGGGTGTGTTTGGTACAAGAGAAATTTTTTGGTGACCGAGAATCATAATTAATGGGAATTCAGTAGAAATTGAGTTTACTTGGAATCTTACGAAAGAGGTGTTTGGTTCGCCAAAATATTACCGGAAATATTGGGTAAAAATTACTGATTCCATATTTGGTTTAGAACGAAATATGACTTGGAATATGAGGTTATTTTACAAAAATAACCCAAAACTATTTTTACTTTTATAATTGATAGATTGGATCTAGATTTTTATGTGTATTGAGGTATTTTTGTCTTAAAATTTATTGTTGTGCTTTCCCTTTTGCTTGGTATTCTGATTGGTATTCCGAATTACCATATTATTTTTGGTAATCTGAATAGTGACTTTTCTTTATAAATCAAATTACCGGTAATCCTTGGATATCCGGGAATCGTAATTTATTCCTTCTACCAAACGTGGTAATTACATTTACCAAAGAAGGATTACCGGTAATCCTCTTCAAAAACATGAAACAAACATCCCCTAACGGTGATGCGCGTCGGAATCCGGATTTGGCTGTGTGCGGTGGTGTGAGCAGGAATTCTCAAGGAAGGAAACTGGCTTTCAGGCTTCGCTTTTAGATTGGGATACTGCTCAGCTTTTAAGGTCATTCTGAAAATTGATTTGCTTACGGCAATCATTGGGCTTACCAAGCATGGTGCATCAGTCCATGAGGTGCGTTTGTTATCTCGATATCTCGAATACGGACGTGGATTAGAAAAGAGTGGGAGATTCGATTCAACATACCTTCAAGGAAAGGTACTTGTGTGGAGACTGATTGGCAAATTACTTGTTAAATTCATCGGAGCAGGCCGACCAGATTTACTTCGAGGAACCCCTAAGTGAAATCTTTCTGTTATTTATGGCGGACTTTGTGTCTATTGGAAAAGAGCGTCTGGTGTCTTTTAGTTGTTAGGTTTTTGTTTTATTTTATTTTCTTTGCGTGCTGGGGGCTTAATGCCCTTTTAGTTATAAAAAAAATTGATGTGAGGAGATTTAAAATTAGTTTTAATGAGTTATTTTGAATAAATTATTTTTAAAAAAAGAATAATTTTTGCATTTTTAGTACATTTAGATAATTTTTTTAAATAAAAAGATGAAGAACTAGAAAAAAAGTATAATTTTTACTTTTTAAAGAAGTTTTTGAACTTCTGCAAAGATTTTTTTTTTAGATCATAGAGAAATTACCCAATGATAAAAAAAAATAATTTTGAATGCTGCATTCAAGCATAAAATAGTTTTTACGTTTTTAATAATCAAATTATTAAAATATTAATTTGGGCATTGAAGTGTCCAGTTTTGCAGTCACTGCCGTGGACATAATATGTATTAGTTTAATTCTTTTCTTACTCAAGCTAAATTTTTAAGCATTATATTGGTTGCTAATTATTTTCAACAAAAAAATGTGATTATTAATAGGGTGATAGTTTTCACACACAATTATACAAGTGGGGTCTCCTGACAGGGAGAAAGAGAGAAAAATCAAATTGAAACCCACCTTCGGTTTGTGAGACGATTTGTTTCCCTTATTAGTAAAAGATAAATGTTATAAAGTAGGAGTGTTTGTACCTATTCTGGGCCCATTTATTTTCATAGTTTGCTGCTTCTTATAATGCTTGGTTTCATATGTGTCGGTTAATCATTTGTGTTAAGTCCCAATTTTATACTTAAAAACTTATGGAAAGATGATTATATAACTTCTATATTTAATTTGCCGTCATTATTAACAAGATGCTTACTGAGTCTATGTACAGTGACAGTAATATTGTCCCTCTAAGACAGTTCACCAAAAGGTTTTTCATTTCTGTTCGCATAATTTTTTTCTTTAATTAAACGAATAATTTAACTCAAGATACAAACATAATTAACTATTGAATTTCAGTTCGTATTTTGGTTATTAAGTGTCAAATATTTTCGATACCTTAAAGGAAGATCTTATATGTTTCTTAACATTACTCGCCTTTAGGATGATGGCCCTAGCCCCTAACTAACAGATCCTATATTTCTCAAATGGAAGTGATGGTTGAATGCTAGATTGGATGAACGGCATAAGATCAAATTGCCAGGGGAAAATCGTTCAAACAAATAAATCTATAATAGCAATTAGTCCTCTTAAATCCACGCAATATTGCCAAAATGCTATATGATCTTCTCAAAAAAGGAACCCCGGAAACTTTGGATCTGCTCAGTCACTGCCTGTTAAGCAAGCCAGAATACTTAAAATTAGAGTACTTCCAAGAGAGAATGTTTTAATCATAAATTTTTTTGAAAGGGGAATTTAACACATACCTCTCCAAAAGCTAGCTAGATGTTCACCACTTGCGTATGGAAAGATCAATGTGTAGATATGCCACAGAAGCCACAAAAAGCAAGAAAAATACAGATGCCAGCATCAATGGCTCAGCAAGCATGAATATAGGGTTAAAACTGTAGTATACCTACCCAAAAAAATAATAAAAAACATGGTTAGACCATAGCCTAGAGCAGAAGATTATTTACATAGAATGAAAACAAAAGAAAAACAGAGACCTTGACCAGACATGAAGACAAATTCATATTGTAATTTTCTGTGTAGTTTTGAACCAAGCTTTGACTAGTTATGCCAAAATTTATCTTAGAAAATAAGTCAATAATTTCGTAACATAAAGTGAAATATGTTATGGCTTCCATTATTGTAGGTGTGGATAGCAAAGTCTTGACTAGGTATTTTGCTTTTCGTTTTTCGTTTTCAGCTTCTAAGAAGGTAAATAAATAAGTGAAGTTCTAATTTCTATCCCAACCTTGTTCCGGAGGCAAGAACTAAAAATACATTGTTCGAACTTGATCCAAAATGTATCATTATGCAGCAACAATTTGACAATCTTCTTTGTCCATCATACGAAGAGGGAGGAGATCCTAAAGGTCTCATTTGTATACAGCTGGACATTGTTTAAAGGTCTCACTCATTAACTGTCATTGTTAAGAATTAATTCCTCCAAACATTGGATAAAGGAAATCCTAAACACCCCAGAACTTATGTCTTTTTTCATGAACATGAAGTCAATAATTTCCATTGCATCATCACATTTAAATAGACGTAGCATTAATCCCTGATTTTGGGTGCACCAAACAAATTTCTCGCTCGTAGAACTCATGAAACACCCACATTCCAAACCATTCTTAGAAAGTTTTCTTTGAATTAAGTTTGGTAATACCTGGAAAGGAGTGTAATGCTCAGGAACTACATTTCTCTTTTCTAGAACCACTACAGTCCTGCCGACAACATCAAGATATGAATGCTTGATCTGCAAAAGTTCAAATGTAAAACCGTTTTAGCTGCAGGGAATCAAATGCATTATTATGATGTAAGTACAAGTGAAATTCTTCAGCATATGTAGCAAACTACACCCGAAAAGAAAAATAAAACATCTTGAAGAAACCAAAGTTAGGTTGTATATACAATTACATACTATTTTCCCCCCCTAATCAAAGATTACAAAGTTAACTATTTCTTTAATATATAGATGCCTCCTCACCCATTTTTTTTCTTTTATTGATAACATAATGTTTCTCTGTTAGTCTGTTATTCTGATTGTGTAAGGAAATTTCTATTGAAATTATAGGGTTACGTAGAGAAGGAGAGAAGGAACTTTGAATAATTTAGATTAAACATGATATGTGTTATAACATGAAGCACTAACATAAATTAGTACAAGCTCAACCCAATAAGACTGCTAACATAAGAGGACTCCTAATATTTTAACACTCCCTCAAGCTTTAGCATGCTACAAATAAACATACTTAAAGAAAGCATGCAACCAGATAAGATTGTGTTACGATCCTACTCCAAGGTTGACTTGGAGTCCCACATTGGTTATATTGGTGACTAATGTCGGGTTTATATGGAATTTGAGCTCTCTTACCTCTCGAGCTAGCTTTTGAGGTGAAATTTCCCAAGGTTTGTATCAATTGGTATCAGAGTCTTCCACTATGTCTCCCAATTGCAATCGAGCGGCGCGGGTGGTGACACTGACATTGCAATGTTTGCCCAAGGCTAGTAAAAGACTAGCGCAAAGCCAGCCCGCGTAGGCACGGGGGCTGCGTGTGTGGTAAAATGTTACGATCCTACTCCAAGGTATAGGACTTGGAGTCCCACATTGGTTATATGAGTGACTAATGTGGGGTTTATATGGACTTTGGGCTCTCCTACTTCTTGAGCTAGCTTTTGGGGCGAGGTTCTCTCAAGTTTTGTATCAGATTGCATTACTATTAAGGACACTCAAAGCCAAGTCCCACTTCAACATGTAGTAGGAGATTTTCACAATATCATACAAATACAATACATTGGTCCAAGGAAGGCCAAATCAACATATATGAGTGACTAATGTGGGGTTTATATGGACTTTGGACTCTCCTACTTCTTGAGCTAGCTTTTGGGGCGAGGTTCTCTCAAGGTTTGTATCAGATTGCATTACTATTAAGAACACTCAAAGCCAAGTCCCACTTCAACATGTAGTAGGAGATTTTCACAATATCATACAAATACAATACATTGGTCCAAGGAAGGCCAAATCAACATATAATTGTTCATATAGGCTATTTGACTAGGCACTCAAACCCTACAAACACTGCAAAGGCCAGAACCCGTATACTCGTACATTACATCCTCAAATCTCATGGTATTACAATCTCCTAAGTGACATAAAATGCTACCTAGGATCCATTTGGATCGAGCTGTAATACCTCTTGAGTTATCAAGATTCAGGACCCATTGTTACCTCTATCAGGCTGGCTACAGTGGTATGTCATACTCATCATTAAGATGAACGCAACAATATAGTAATGAATTACTATAAGGACTAATCACGCTGTCTAGCAATAGTACTTTGATGCAGACTCAATGTAAGACGAAATTGCATAAACTCATACAAAATTGCCTCTATATTCAGAACATAATCTCTTGGGTGTCTGGGAATAATTGGCCAACTTGACCCCATGTACTTTCCCTAACAAATGCTTCATCTACCAATAACTATTAACCATAAAACACCTAAGGCCAACTTCAAAAAAATAAAAAAATAAAAAAATAAAAAATAAAAATAAAACTGACAGTGAATTCTTCATAAGGCAAAAAAGGTTCTCATATCATTAATACTTTACAATTAAAATTGTTTCCATGGTATCTCTTTTAGGGTGTCTCCTTCAGGAATTTAAAATGTGATTGAAATGCTCTATTCTAATTCTGTGAACCGTATTCCTCATTTCTCTCTCACTATTATGAGGAAACAAAGAAAGAATATTGAATTCACTGAAAAAAAGAAAAATTGATCACTTTGAAAATGGTTTTATATAAATACAGAGAAGTTGAGCTTAAAATAAACATTGATCCCAGAAATAAAACAGAGATGAATGCAGCTGACACAGTTATTAAGTCATAACTGCACACGTGGCTCCATAAATTTAATCAACCCCTCTAAAGCTTATTTTTCCTTTTAAACACATATAAAGCTGTGTCTAAGTTTTGCAGTTGAAACTAAGCCAGTGTTATGTAGCATTATCCTAAGAGAAAATTACCTCCAGATGTTGCTCTACTTGAAAAGGAATCACAGCTTTGGGATCTTTGGAGCCCTCTGGCAGCACAACCTGAAATTCAATGGTTCAAGAAGAAGAATAAATTCAACCTCCATTATTGCATACAGATGCGGTTGAAGCAAAGGGACACAAATATTAGTTATTAATAACAATAACAATGCAAAATCACAAGTTCAGACCCACTTTTACAATCAACTTGTCAACCACTGTCTCAGCAAGAGGGCAACCAAAAGTAAAATTGAGGTATCTTCTGCCATCTGGAGACTCAAAAAGGAAGTCTTGCAATGGTACCCCATAACCAATGACAAAGGTTGCTTTCCAGCCTCCAAACAGAGGATACCGAGGTTCAATTTCAAGTTCTGACTGCAATCAATAAACATATAAAGAAGAATGAAATCAGAAAACATGATATTATAAAATATAGATTATGTAAAATGAAGGAATCTTTTTGTTCTATTGTCCTTGGCGATCTCTACATGTCCACAAAACTGGTATAGCCTTTTCTCTCAAAACACTACATTAACATAAAAATATGACATGTAGAAACTATAAAAAATCATCATGTTGTCAATGCCGTTTTTATCAACTCATTATGGGTCAATGCTGCACAATAAAACAACCATAGACCAAACAATGAAAATGATACTGTTCATGTTGACAAGAATAACATTAATATTTAGTGAGAAAAGCACCATGCCTCCCTTATGAAGAACAGAGAGAAAATGAGTAGAGATTGTTATTGATAGCTGAATTTTACGGAAAAGGAGAGAAATCTCCTCCAAGAGTTTCTCCTTACAACTGAGCCACTGCTACTATTTAAGCTAGTCCCCTGCCTTTACCACTATAACCTCCTTAATAATTCTATAACTTCCTAACTTCCTGCTGTTATATGGCTCTCAAAAAAAAGAGTGAGAAAAAGAAAAGAAATGGTGCACATGATATTAAAGAAAGAAGAAGATATAAGTGAACTTGAATGACTACTCTATATCAAGAGGGAGCTGTGAGAAAAGGAATGTGTTATTTTAAGACCTGATGATATATCTTACCTTCAGAAAATCTGTACGTAAATGTGAAGAGGAAATATTCCCTATTTCATCCCGGTAATATACTGAGTGAACCCTAGGGGGTAGTTTCGCTAGAAGATGTTTAAATGAAGAAACACCAGTACCACCTGGTCTAGTTTGATATTCAACCCTGTCAACAGAAAACACCAGTCATACATAATACACAAAACTTTATATCAAAGGAGAAAATATCAGGATAAATTCAGAAGAATTTAAACATTCCACATAACCAAAAAATACAATAAGTTTACGTTTCATTAAGACGAGTATGAGCCTTGAGTAAGTGGTAAAGCTACTCCTTTGTGACTAAACGGTTACAGGTTTGAATCCGAAAAACATCCTCTTTGCAAATATGCAAAAGTAAGGCTGCAAACAAAGATTGCACTCTCACCCCACCTTTGCTAGTCGAGATATAATGGGGAGTTGTTTTATGTTTCATTTACTTTAATTCAGCTGATCAATTGGTAAAGCATAATTAAAATTGAGGCCATTTTGAAATGTTGAGAATCCTGATACAAGAGTAATAACTACAATATTATTCTGTATAATCTACAGAATAAAGAGCAATTAACATAGGGTGCCGATTGAGTGTGTGGGCAATCGGTGTGCTCTTGCCTGGAAGTGATGAAAACCTCATAATGATGCTGTCAAGAGTGTTAGTGTTAATAGTGTAGAAGTCCCACATTGAGTGTGTCTCTTTGTATTCTTCAATTGGTTTGCTATATAATAGCACCAATGTTGTGTAGTTTAATACAACAAGGATTACTATAATTTCCTCTTGTATCTATGATATTTAACATGGTATCTAGAGCCTAATAAGAGGAATCTTAATCCGTTTAACTTAGTTCTATTTTCCATAATTTCAATATGGTTATAGAGAGATATCACCCTCCTTGAGGGATTCCCGTTGCTATTTCTTTTTCGGGTTTTTCTTAGTATGCTCTGTGACTGTAGCTTAGACTGATCTGTCACATCAGAAAAGAATGATCCTTGGGAAGTTGTTGGGTTGACCACCGTTGTCGTTGACCGACCACCGTTGACCGCGTCGTCCACCGTTGACAGCCGTCTCCGGCGACTTTTCCGGTGACTTCTGATGACTTTCTGGCGACTTTTTCGGCGATCCGCCACCGTCTCCGACGACTTTTTCGATGACCCACCGCCGTCTCCGGCGACTTTTTCGATTCCGCGAAGCTTTGTTTTTCTTTAATCTTCTTTCTTCCCAAGATGGAGTATTTATACTATTCATCATCCATCTTGAGGGGGAGCACTGTCCATGTTGCTGATGGTCATTCCAGCACAATTGTCTTTGCCGATGATAATTCTGGCACTGTTTAGAAGTTCCTCTTGAGGGGGAGCACTGTCCATGTTGCTGATGGTCATTCCAGCACAATTGTCTTTGCCGATGATAATTCCGGCACTGTTTAGAAGTTCCTCTTGAGGGGGAGCACTGTCCATGTTGCTGATGGTCATTCCAGCACAATTGTCTTTGCCGATGATAATTCCAGCACTGTTTAGAAGTTCCTCTTGAGGGGGAGCACCGTCCATGTTGCTGATGGTCATTCCAGCACAATTGTCTTTGTCGATGATCATTTCGGCATCTTCCATGTTGATGTTCATTTCGACGCCATTTTTAGCACATTGTTGATTTTTGGTTTCTCATTTAGGAGATTTATTTTGATGTTATGTTACTTGGTCTTTCTTGTAATAAGCTTGTAGCATAGTCAAGGGTAAACCCCGGCTGCTCACCAACTGTTAAATGAAATGTCTGAGAGGGATCTTGATGCTGATGTCCTGGTCAGCTCAGTTGTCTTTGCCGATGATAATTCCGGCACCATCCATGCTCTGATGTCCATTCCAGCACTGTCTCTTTATCAGCTCTTCAGACTGATGGTCATTCCAGTTGATTTGTTGTACTTAGTCATTTCATTTCGTTGATGTAGCATTGTTGTTTTTGGTTCCTAATGGGAGTATTATTTATGTATCAAGCTTGTAGCATATGATCTATATGCTACAGCTTGAGGGGGAGTGTCAAGAGTGTTAGTGTTAATAGTGTAGAAGTCCCACATTGAGTGTGTCTCTTTGTATTCTTCAATTGGTTTGCTATATAATAGCACCAATGTTGTGTAGTTTAATACAACAAGGATTACTATCATTTCCTCTTGTATCTATGATATTTAACAGATGCTTTTCTGCTGTTAACTACTTTAAAAAGAATGACTCATCCATGTTGCCACCAAATTTTGCAATAAAAACAAGTAGGGAAAAGGCATATTTCAATTGTTCCAAATTTTCAAATCATGTAGAATTATGAAAAACTAGATAGCTTTTCAAGGGAATAGAAGAGAGCACTTGGATGAATTACAATTGTATATGAATAACATCCATGCAACAAATTAATAAAAATACTAAAATGGGTTATGCCAAAAATCTAAAATAACTACTTCAAGATGTTGAAGAGAGCACATTGATATGTAGGTAATTTTTCTATTTCTTTTAATACAATTACATATATTGTTCCACAAAGAACAAATTTAGGATCTGGAGCATGGAGAAGAATGAGCAAGAGACAGCAAATATACCTTGAAAAAACACCTTTGTGTCGAGCGCCAGCATGAACCAGCCTATATCGCTCTGTGACCTGTAGGCTTCCCCAGTGAGATATCTCAATTTCACGTTCTAGCTCCTCAACAACAGCAAATGGATTGTTATTTTCAAAATGAACAAGTACAGGAGAATATGAGTAGGGGGGATGATTGTCATATGGCCCATATTTCAGCTCTGTACCAGCACGTTTAGTGGGCTCTACCACTGTGAATGATTCTACCCGAGTGCTTGGTGTCTTAATGAAAGTTGTCTGTTGCTTGACGTGATAGGGAGACAACAATATTGCACTATCACGGAAATAGACCAACTGCGACTCTGATTGACTTATTTCAACTGGGAAAGGTTCCAGAAAATGTGTCAATATGTAAAGCACCTCTAGTGTTATGGTTTCCCCTTTACTTAGTGGAGTTAACAAAGTTATAGAGAAGAATTTAGTTCCATTTGGTCCATCAGGTAGCTCAGCAGATTTAACATCAAGAGGAATGTAAGTTTTCTTCTTCCTCTTCCCAGAAGTTGCAGCAGCTTTGACTATTGCTAGATGTTCAACTTCAGTAGGTGAAAAAGCAAGATGTACTTCTGAAGCTGGAGATGTCCCCGAGTTTTCAACCTGAAAGGAAAGCCCTATGAAATACAAGATCTACAAATTTGTGATAGATGCATTAATAGTTTAATTCATTGCAAAGAAAAAAAAAATTAAGTGAAAAAATTGGCCTAAACAAACACTGATTTGTTGGTCCAATAATCCAAAACAAGTTACAAACTTCAATAGAGGAGCACATGTGGAAAAGTCACAGGTAAAGCCAAGGGGGAACATGGAGTCAAAGTCAACATGGTCAACCCAAGTTTGTGAATTTTTCATGTACCCATTCATAATTTCATATATTACATAAAGTGAATTAAATTTCCACATAGCTTCTTTAATTGATGGTCCTTCTCCTTGCATGTTATATATGTTTAGTCTAACCTCCTCACACTAAATTTCTGGTTCAGCCCCTAGGAATGAACATTTCATTCCTGGTATATTCTGTAGGAAGGGTATTCCTTAATTCAGTGGGAAAGAAGACATGGAATGATTATTCTACTGCAACTCTTCCACCAAAAGAGGTGCGAATGGCCATCCCTTTCAGGTTGGAATGAATTGCTGGTTGTTTTATTTCCTTAGCTAACTTCATTAGTTATAATTATGATTCCATTCTATGTTGGTTCCATGCACCAATTAGCAAATATTAAAATGTAATGGAATGAAATAAAACATAATTCATTTCTGAATAAGCCAAACACTGGAACAGGAATGGTCAATTCATTCCTAGCCATTTTGATTCTGCAAAAATCAGTCATGTGGACCAAATGTGGCCTAAGTGTTTGCAAAAGGTACCTCTGATCAAACTGGGTAAAACTAAGCAAAATCTTTGAATATTACTATCATGCACAATTATAAAGATGTGCAAATGCCATGACATTGTTTTGCATAGACACAAGTTTGGGTCAAACCACTTTTCACAGAAACTGAACTAAAATTCATATGGACAAAAATGAAACATGATTTTTATATGCAGGTAACTTAACCAAATATAACTGAGTATACCCACTAAATCTAGACATAAAAAGATAAATTGACTGTACTTAAATTAAATCTTTACTGAAAGGTGAATACAGAACACAATTTACAGATAAGCAAAGCAGCAAGAATGAAATAAACATGATCGACTTATTATCCAAAGGGTAAGAGAAGGAAGGGTTACCTTCAATGTCAAGTACACCTTAATAATGTGAGAAGTCAAGTCAATCTGCAAGGATCATTTGCATATTAGTCGTACGATGTATATATCAGAGTGTTTGATTTGAATGATATCCGAAATATGGTTAAACATTTGCAATATTTCCTCAAAAAAAGAAAGAAAGAAAAAGACACAGGTATGTTATGAAAATACTACAGCACTCATCCCAACTAAATTCACCAAAAATTCATATTCCACTGTAATTGAGAGGAAAATACACACAGACACACACAGACACACAGAGAAAGAGGGAGCATACAATATTCCATCATATTTATGCTATACCCATCTGGCAAGCTCAGTGGCTAACATCCCAAAACAATTCCTTCCATTTTTTGCACAGATCTTCAGCGAAAACATGTTCCTTACTTATTAAGCGATTATCAATGTCAATTTTCCATAAAAAATGAGTAGACTCGCAAACAAATCATCAAATTTCATGAGTAAAAAAGAGAGAGATTGTGCGAATGAAAGAGGACTTAAGAAAGGTTACCCTGCGTTCGGCATTGACGATCTGAAGGTCTTGGGAAGAAGATGAATTAGCAAGGAAGAGATGAAGGAAGAGGAAGAGGAGAAGGAGAAGGGGTAGCCGAACTCTGAGTAGAGTTTCCATTGGTGGTGGTGTTGCAGTTGACGAGTGCTGGGTCTTCACTCTCAAATATGACCCTCACAAGTCACAAGTCACAATTGGGTCTTCAATTACGTTTTATTTTTTTTGGGGGTCAGTTCAGCACAGTTTATGTATATTCGGGCAAATTAATTCAATATAATAAACAAGCATTCGTTTACATTTTTTTTTTTTTTTTTTTTTTTTTGTAAATTACACTAAATATAATCAGTCGTACACTGATTAAAGTATGATTGGTCGTACTTAGTGTAGTTTGTAAGAGTTTGTAAACAAAAAAAAAAGTTTGTAAATATAAGATGCCCCTAATAAATAAGGATTTTATTTTTCTTATGTCACATAAGATAAATCTCCTCTCCTAGTCTCACAATAAATGGTGGGACCCACCTTATTTTTTAAAAAGAAAAGAGAATAAAACATAGCACGGAAATCGAAGTGAGAGTAGGAAATAAAATTTCTCTTATGTGACATAAAAAAATAAAATCCAAAATCAATTAATGGGTTTAGTGTTTGTCATTTTAAATGATATAATTTTATGTCATTTTTAATGAAACTACGTCGTTTTGGTGTGTTTTGTCATTTTTTCTAATTTATAAAATTAGAAATAAAAAGAAAATAGAGGAGAGAGAATGTTAAAACACACCAAAACGACGTAATTTCATTAAAAATGACATAACTTTGTGTCATTTAAAATGACAATCATTTTTCCTTTAATTTATACATCAAAATAAGTCGAATTTATATAAGATCACGTAAGATTGATAAACTAAATTAATTGTTATTTAATATATATATATATATATATATATATATGGTTTAATGTTTTGAACAAATATTTTCCATTTTAAAGGACAGTCGTTGTACCTAAGATTATTATTTTGTTTATTTAAATTAAAACAAATTCCTACTTTCTCCCACTATAGTTTCTATTATGTAACTGTTTCTCTCATCATAAAATAGAATAATTTTGACTAAAATGACATAATTTTATTTTCTTTAAAAGGACAAACACTAATCCCTTAATGTTTCTCTGGTCATACAAGATAAAGTTATTTCCTGTAACTTCAAAATGATATCGTTTTGGGGTTAAAGATTAAAAAAAAGATATTTTAGTAAAATTCACATTACAAAGATGAATGTAAAATTTCTAAAATACCCATTATTTCCTAAACCCCAAAACAAGGTCATTTTTGGATTGCAAGAGATAATTTTATAAGTAATACTCATTTTGGTCCTGGCAATATCCACGAATCCCTTATTGGTCCCTAGCAATAAAAAGGGATATAATGGTCCCTTAAATTACAAAAAACAGGCCACGTTAGTCCTTCTGTTAAATCTCATCCCTTATTGTGATGGAACTTCTTCTAGTGGCATGAAAAAAGCTAGTTGTGGTGGTATATTAAGAGATCATAATGGATCTTTTTTGGGAAGCTTCTATTGTAATTTAGGTTCCTGCAATCCTCTTGATGCAGAATTATGGAGATTACTGAAAGGTTTGGAACTGCTTTGGGGTACAGGATTAAAAAGAATAGAGCTAGAATGTGATTCTAGCCGAGCCATCCAGATGTTAAAGGAACAGCATGAAGATCCTAGGGACTCTCAAGTCACTAGCAGATTGAGATTATGGTTAAAATCAGATTGGACTATTCACCTTGTTCATACCAAGAGAGAAAACAACAAATGTGCTCATTGGTTAGCTAAAGCTGGGCAGACTAATAATCTCCATTTCAAGATTTTTAAAGATCCTCCTCCTCAGTTGATGGAACTTATAGTTGCTGATGCTAGAAATATGTCTAGCTTGTTAGTTTCTGATTTGTAATTTCTTTTTGTTTCTGGGGCTTAGCCCCTCTTTATTTACAAAAAAAAAAAAAAAACTCATCCAACAGCCCAACTAACGGTGCACACTTGGCATGTTAGTTTGCTGACGCGAATTTGAGTGGTCCACTATGGATTTCCAACGCCCTTATTGGTCCCTGACAAAAACCTCGGGGCTTTTTTGGTCCCTAACTAAAGAAAAACAGGGACATGAAATCAAAGGATTTCTATGCAATCTATTGTCATTGTCTTCATAAAATTCTCGAGCTTATCTATGTATCCATGCCGACTGTAGAGTTCAATCATGCAGTCATAATGCCCCGGCCGAGGCAGGACACGATATTCATTGCTCATTAACTTAAAGCATTCCGCGCCAAACTCAACAAGGCCTTCTTCAACACAAGCAAGCATAATGCCCTGAAAGGTCACATGGTCTGGTTTGATGCCTTCTGCTAGCATTATCCCAAAAAGTTCAAGTCCTTCTTTACCTCTATGATTGTGACAACATCCCAAAATTATGGTATTCCAAATAATCACATCCCTAGTAACTGCCCCCTTCAAAACCTCAATAGCATACTCAAGACAATGGCATTTAGAGTACATGTAAACCAAAGCAGTTCTGATTATAGTATCTATCGATAGATATAGCCATGAACTTGTTTCCCAATTTCATGGTCTGAAAGGCCTGCCGACACATTTCAAAGGCCTAACCTTAGCCAAAAACATCCGCAAGAACATGAAAACTGATTCCTTTGCATCACCAACATCAAGATACCGCCTCACAATTACATTCCAAGTGACAACATTTGGACGTGGATCACATTTCCACAAAAACCAAACTTTGTCACAAGCCCATGAACCTGCCTGGAGAGAAGAAGCTGAGAAGCAGCAGCACAAGAGGCAAATTGGCGCAGAAACCGGACCTATGGTGAGCACTCTTCTTGTACCACCTTAATTATGCCAAAACATATGAGGCAAGCTATCAAAACCCCAAGGGCCACACCAACAGAGACACAAATGATAACTAAATCAGCTTGACGAACCATTCCTTTATCTCTCTTCATATTCAAACAATGTAATCATCTTGCACAAAACTAGCACTAGAGAGGTTCACTGTCACAAAGTTGACACAATTTTAAGTTAATTCAATACTTCATCTAACTAGAACTGTCATAAAATAAATTGCTAATTTCGTGATAGAGATACAAGGAGGAAAAGGTGTACTACAACCACAACCAACTTGAAAGATGAATCTCAGCAAAAATGAAAAAACATCTAACTCTTTCTTAAAATCTCTGCACTAAAAGTGTGACATAAGCAAAGAACAAGACATGGACACCTTATTAAGGACAAAGCAATTCTTCAGATTTGATTATTCATGAATTTAAGGAAAAGCATGATAACTGCATAGTATGCATATTTATATATTACTACTTTCCCTGACAGATACATCACACGCCAAAAGAAACACAAATCTTATCCTCTTCATGATTCACATAAAAGTTATAGAAGCAGGGTTTAGGAAACAATTTACAATTCACAAGTGACAAACCCTTTAAGAGCAACCGAAACCTTGTGATAATTTTGTTTTGATTAAATAATTTAAGTTTATTTGATGAACTTAAATTCTACACGAATTTATTTAATATAAATAGATTTAAATTAAAATAAATCAAATAAAATTTTAAGTATCGTTTCACTTCCAAATTTCCAATGAATGCAGAAGTTCCACGTGAGGGCTACCTGACTGTTACATTGCTCGTTGTCACACTCTTCTTCTGACCATCGCCACTGCAAAAGCAGAGAGTGGGAGCAGCACAATACAACGCTAAGCTTCCCCATTTATGCGAAAAAATTCACTTTCTGTTCAAATCCAAACCCTAACCTGGCCAATTTCGTGACCCACATTTCAATTTTCCTCCGAAGCACCATCTTCATCGTCATTGACCACACATTCTGTGAAATGGACGCTAGTGATAGGGCTTCCGATTTGTCCAACAGAGACTATGGTATGGAGACTCCGTCAAAAGCTTTGGTCATTCACAACAGGGTACCTCAACAATGTGGGAGAGAAGAAGCAAATTGTGAAAGTGAAGGAAGGTCTTAGCGTTGTAGTCTCCAGATAAAATTCAAGTGGGAGAGAAGAAGAAAAAAAAACTGAAGGTACCTCAACAACATCGTTTTTGGTCCTACGTGGAATGTGAGTCAGCCACTTAACGGTACACGTCTGACACGTTAGTGACGCCGTCATAGCTCAACTAACAGAAGGACTAACGTGGCACTATTTTTCTAAAATTAAGGACCAAAATGAGCCTTTTTTATTGTTAGGGACCAAAAGGGACTTTGTGAATATTGTCAGGGACGAAAAATGGTATTTACTCTAATTTTATCTTCTATCTAGAAAAAAACACATTTTCCATATATATATATATATATATATATATATATATATCAAATCACTTGAGATAACTTTATCTCCGACCACTGAATCATAACCATATAAAGATAGATCAATGGTGATAAAGGAAGAAAGAGAAAAAAGAAATCTTAACCATTCAAAGGTGAATCAATTAAGATAAGAAAATAAATAAACAAAATGACATAATTTTAGGGTGACAAAAAATAAAGTTATTTCAAGTGACTTGAGAAATATATATATATATATATATATATATATATATATATATATATATAAAAGAGAAAAGATCCATTTATAAATTTTTTTTTACAAATTTTTGCAAATTACACTATGTACTCCCGGAAGTACATAGTGTAACCTAGTGTACTTCCGGGAGTATATAATATAGTTTGTAAATAAAAAATTTGTAAATATAACCCTCCTATAAATATATATATATATATATATATATTAAAATAACATTTTAATAAATTTTTTATAAATAAAACCTTAACAATCTTAGGATACTAAGAGTTTATTTTAATGTTTTTTTTTGACTTATAGGTTAGTGCATATCTTTAATATTGGAAATCATAACTCCTTTGTTAAAAGTAGGAAAAACAAATGCAGCTCAGTTGGTAATTTGGCGCTGAGTTAGTGGGGTTGGATATGTGTTCGATTCCCGCTGAATGCATTCTTGGGGAGGGGGCTGAACCTTTAGCCATCACTGTTCCCCCGCACTCCGGATTAGTCCCATAGCCGGCTCAAAGAGTCGAAGCTCGTGGGGATACCGGAAGGAGCCAACTCGTCTCAAAGAGATAATTAGGGTTGGGTAACTCCAAAAAAAAAAAAAAAAAAAAGGAAAAACAAACTTTAAGTGATATTAATTATAAAGGAATAGGTAGAATAATAAAACAATGAGTTTTATTTTTCTCATATTGTATGAGACAAATTTGTCGCATGCAACACAAGAAAAAGCGGGTGAGACTCACTAAAAAAGAGAGAGAGAAAATAAAAAAGTTGGTCACACCCGCTTCAATATATATATATATATATATATATATATATATATATATGAATTTAATATTTCTAAAGTGAATGTAGATAAGTTATCTACATTCGCTCCCAAAACGACGTAGTTTTGGGTTGAAAAATTAAAAAGTTATGATGATAAAGACTATTATAATCCTAAAATAAATTATAATTACAAAAATACCTTGATTTCCGCCTCAAAACGACATCATTTTGGACTCAATGTAGATAAGTTATTTACATTGACCGTAGAAAAAGCGAACCCTATATACATATATATATATATTATAACTATAAAAAATGAAGGGTTTGGTGTTTGTCATTTTAAATGACATAAGTTATGTCATTTTAGGAGAGAGATAGACACAGAAAAACGGAAATCATGGGAGAGAGAAAGTGAGTGATTTTTTTTAATTTAGAATCCAAATTTTCTGTTTCTGTAACTCTCTTAAAATGACATAACTTTCTGTCATTTAAAATGACAAACACTTTTTCCAAAAAGGGAAAAAGAAGTATCCTTTTAAATTACAGAAGCTTGTATCCTTTTAGATGTTTTACACAAAGTATGACCTGTCATACTTTGTGTAAATCTGAAAAGTTACTTTTTTTCTCTCTTCCGAGTCACATCGCTGACGTGTAAAGTGAAAAAAAGTAATTTTGTACACAAAGTATGACCAGTCATACTTTGTATAAGTCACTAAAAGGACACAACGTGTGTCCTTTTAAATGACACACACTAAACCCATATACATAATATTAAACGAAAGTGAAATTAATGAAATACCTTGTATTTTTTAAAAAAAAATCCCCGAACAACATCGTTTTAGATTTGTAGGAGATAACTTTATCTAATATGTTTTTCTATTTTTATTTGTCTAAATAACTTAATTTATTAGGTTATTTGGATCAATTGGCTAAGTTTATGAGTTTGGCTAGAGACAATTTATCTTCAATGTGCTTAAAAGGATGCCCTTTTTTGTGATTGAGAAAATTACATTTTTATAATTCTAATTTATTTTGGGAGTATAATAATTTATATCTTTATAATTTTTTTCAGGAAAAAATGTTTATCCTTTTAAATGACACAACTTATATCCTTTCACTCTCACAAAGAGGTGGGACCCACACTTTTATTTTTTTGTCAACTATCTCTCCTCCTTTATCTATCTCTTTCTCTCTTTTAAAATGACACAATTTTACATCCTTTAAAATGACACACACTTTACCTTTTTTCCAACCCCGAAACAACATTATTTTGGGCTCATTAGAGATGAAGTTATTTTCAATGATAGAAAAATCATTAAATCCTAAGTTTAATCATCATGTTTAGTTATCGTTTATATTTTGATTTGAATTAAAGCAAAAAGTTAAATTTGGATAACTTTTTTTAATTTATTATAAACAGAAATACCAATAATATATTCTTTAGTATTTTCGTTTCAATATTTTATTTTTTTGTAATTCAATACTTTATGTATTATTGGATAAAATCTAACGTTGATCCTATTTATAAAGAGTTTTTTTTTTTTTTTTTTTGATAAACCGACCCTAATTACAGAAGAGTCGATCTCCAAAAATCCTCACAAACTTTAAATTTTTGAACTAGCTATAAGTTTAATCTTGAGTCAGGACTTAATCACAATAAAGAATGAATGACTAATCTATTTGTATAACTCAAGTTGTTAGATGTTATTATTTTTTCTACAATGAATTAGTTAAGTTATCTACATAAACTCTCAAAATGACGTCGTTTTGAGTTGAAAAATTTAAAAATTATAATAAAAGACTATTATAATCCTGAAATAAATTATAATTACAAAAATATTTTGATTTCCGCTTCAAAACGACGTCATTTTGAGTTAAATGTAAATAAATTATCTACATTGACTGTGAAAAAAGCAAACCCTTATTTTATATCATTTTTACCTAAAAGTTTGGGCTTATACTATATTATTTCCTAAATAGATATGAGAATTGTAATCACTTGATCATTGAGTCGATGGCGTCCTCCCATATATCTTCTCTCTTACAAATCATAATTCTCATTTTCACGGCTTTTTGACTGTATCAATACATTTTTCGAAAAGTATTGTGATTTATGTTTGAGAGAATTTTACATGTATCAAATTCTCCTAAATATGTGAATCTAGATAAACGGAACGACACATATCTATTGATACATTATTAAAAAAAAAAAATTAAGCAATTTTTGTTGGAAATTGAAATGAACTTGATACGTTGAATCACTTGCAATTCATGCATCTATAAATTCATAATTGTCTAATTCATGCATCTACCAGTTGCTTGTGACCTTTATTTAAGGATATAATTGGTGTCTCTTGTGACCTTCGAATTCTAGTTTAGCTGGGGATTTATCCCTACTTGTTATAAAAAAAAAAAAAAAAAGACTCGTACAATTATGCTGACCGTTCCTTGGCTATGAATATGAAAACTTAGTTCTTGTGATGGAAGATCAATAGAACTGGTAATAATAGAATCATATATATATATATATAGATACTGTCATATTCCCAACCAAGATAATGTGTTGTTAAGTATGTAGAAGGAAATTGTTGTAACAGCTTCAAGAGAGAATCACTCTACACATAGCATGTTGGCATTGGCACATAACAGCTACTACCTATTCTTTTTCCTTAGATTTCCCCTTTAGACTAGGGATAGTATTTACACGTGTGCTCTTTCTTGGTTCACAGAACTGAAAAGATTGCATCTGAGTTTGAGATAAACGTGGAAAATATCTCGAGTCCCAAAACAGAAACAAAGGAAAAAAGAAAAAGAAAAGAATAGCTGGCCATTTTTGCAGTGTTTTTCTTTGCCTCTTTGAAAGAACACTTTTGATGTTAAGTAAGTGTTACGACGACACATGGCGTGCATGAAACTGGGATCCAAATCTGAAGTGTTTTACCTCGATGGCCAGAGTTGGTGAGTTCTTTCTCATTTATTTCTTATATATTCTTCAATTGAATTCACTATCTGAGAATCATAGAAACTTTAGTTGCATTCTACTAGTTTTTTGGATTCTGAACACAGGTTGTATCAACAGTATCTATCTATTCTGATACATAATTCACCATTTTTTATGAGTGGAAACTTGTTATGATATACCATTAACCTTGTTGACTGTCAACTACTCATCTTTAGGCTCTGCTCAACTGGACTTCCGAGTGATGTCATTATTGAAATTAAGGAGACATCCTTCCATCTCCACAAGGTGAGTTTTCCTTGGCCAATATTTTGTTTTTATGATTTCTATTATTACTGTCTAACATCTCTAGATACCATGGTTTTGAATGGATATGAAGGACATATCATTGTGCTTTCAATAAAATTTTGGATGTTAACAAAAATAGCAGTTTATAAATGGAGTGTGTTGATTCAAATATTGGAATATATGAAGGGATTGCATTTTCTTACGTGACAGATGATATATATTTTTTCCTACTCAGACATATAAACAGGCCCATAAGTTTTTTTTTTTTTTAAAAAAAAAAAAACAAAGCGTAAGGTTTGATGAATGTACAGGAGAAAAGAAAATTTTTATGTAACAGCAGAAAATCATTTCCCATATATGAATGGATATTTCAAGGCATTAAAGAATTCTAGCATGTCCTTTTTTATTCCGACTAGCTAATTTTGTTCTATTCTAAGGGCCTGAATGAGTTTTTTTTTAGCCAAAACCTATTTTTTTTTGCAGTTAAAAAAAAACTTCTACTTGCAAAGTTTGTTTGGATGTCTTAAAAAAAAAGAAAAAAAAGCAGAAAGTCAAAAATTTCCTTTTTTTTTTTTAAGTTAAAAAATTTAGTTTCTAAAAAAAATAGAAATCAAAAGTCAAATATTATTTAAAAAAATCTAAATAGCTTTAACTTTTGTAAGAAGCATTTCTAAAATAAGTAAGACATGAAAAGTCCTCTTTTTACAAGTCCATCCAAATGGGTCCTAACAAATTTGTCGTAAAGGTGTTGTTGATGTTGATATTGTTGTTGAAGCTAATTTTGTTCTAGTGTCAAAATTTATGCTACTAATTTATTTGCCAAAAGTTTTGGAAAATAGAGGAAACAAAGTTCGACGTAACTTCTAAGGAAAAAATGTGTGTCCTTTTAAAAGATATTTTTACATCTTTTATAACTATGTAATCCGTTATATTGGATGAAATGACATAACCTTGTATATTTTAAAAGGGCAAACAATAAACCTAAGTCGTAATGATAGAAAAGAAAAAAGTCATGCATGATATTCAGCTTTATCCTTTTTTAAGTCCTCTTGATGGAGAAGAAAAGTTTCTCATAATTTAATACATAACAAGTCAATAGGAGTATCTCAGTTTCTTGCTTTGTCCTTCATATATTTGCTTGTTAATACTTGTTATATTGCATGCTTTTAACCCCTTTCTTGCTGTGTTACCAGTTTCCACTGATATCAAGAAGTGAAGTCCTAGAAAGCTTTATGAAAGAATTATCAAGTGAAAATGAAAAGTCTGTTTTGGAACTTCATGACTTACCAGGGGGAGCCAAGGCCTTTTTGCTTGTCGCTAAGTTCTGTTATGGTGTTAAAATGGAGTTGACTCCATTAAATGTGGTTACTCTCCGATGTGCAGCTGAGTACCTGCAAATGACTGAGGATTATGGAGAGGGAAACCTGATCATACAAACGGAAAATTTCCTTAATCACATATTTGGTTATTGGACAGATGCTCTCAAAGCTCTTAAAACATGTGAAGAGGTTTTAACTTGTGCTGAAGAGCTTCATATTGATTCACGATGCATAAATTCTTTGGTGTTGAAAGCTGCTGATCCAAGTTTGGTTAATTTGCCTGTCTCAAGTCAAAGTGTTGTTCAGAGTCCAGAGGATGCAGAAATTTGGAATGGAATAAGCCTAACTTCAAAGGTAGCACCAGGTGAAGATTGGTGGTTTGAGGATGTCTCTTCCCTTAGTTTGCCACTGTATAAAAGATTTATGCAAGGTGCTAGTACAAGACACATGAAACCTGAAAAAATTGCTGGATCCCTTGTTCACTATGCAAAAAAGCATATCCCCTTATTGGGTAGTCAATCAAGTTTCCAGAATGGAAACTCATCTGGTTTTAAGTCAAATGCTTCTTCCCCTTCTGAAGCAGATCAAAGGAATCTGATTGAAGAAATAGTGGAGTTCCTGCCAAATGAAAAGGGCATAACACCAACAAAGTTTCTGCTTAGGAGTCTGCGAACAGCAATGGCTTTATATGCTAGTTCATCTTGCTGTGCAAACTTAGAGAGAAGAATTGGTGCTCAACTTGATGAAGCAGATCTGGAAGATCTTTTGATTCCAAATATCGGTTACTCAATGGAGACTCTTTATGATATTGACTGTGTTCAGAGAATGCTTGATCATTTCATGATTGTAGAGCATGATGCTATTGATTCTACATCTAATGATATAGAGGAAGAGAGGCGCATAGTTGGAGGTTCTCAATCTCTTAGCCCAATGGCAAAAGTGGCTAATATGGTGGATGGTTATCTAGCTGAAGTGGCACCTGATGTAAACGTGAAGTTACCAAAATTTCAGTCACTTGCTTCTGTAATTCCTGATTATGCCAGGACCCTGGATGATGGTATATACCGTGCAATTGATGTATATCTCAAGGTACAAAAAGAAATCTTTGATTGTCTTTCAGTCTGCATTTAATAATATTTTGTCTTGTAAACACTAACCTGATCTTGTATCATGATGTTCCAAATAGTTAGTGATAATATTCTTGGAAATGGAGCTTGTTCCAAGATAACAAAGCTTCACTACTTATAGTAATTGTGTTATATAATATCGGTATATAATGGTAACACAAGTTTTTTTTTTGTCAATAACTTGAAATGAACTCCATACAGTAAAAGAAGCAAAGAAAAAATTATACATCCAACTTTTGTGCTTGATGTAATATGCATTGACCATTTTGATATTGCATATTAGTCAGGTGTTCAAGTAAAAGTAAAAGTTCACAAATAACTATACAAATAAGTATGCTAGAGGCTTTAGAAGTTCATGTCTTGAAAATTTGGTTTACTTTGTTATATTAATTGACAGATACTAATGGATTCTCAATTTCAGGCTCATTCATGGATGACAGACTCTGAGAAGGAACAAATTTGCAGGCTAATGAATTGCCAGAAGCTGTCATTGGAAGCAAGCACACATGCAGCTCAGAATGAGAGGTTGCCTCTTCGTGTTGTAGTCCAAGTTTTGTTCTTCGAACAACTGAAGCTCCGAACATCAGTTGCTGGTTGGTTCTTTGCTTCTGACAATCTTGAAAGCTCACAAAACCTGAGTGGAAATCTTGCTCTGATAAGAAATGATGGGAGCATAACACAACATAACCCCGTTTTGGCTTTTGATAACATGAAAGAGAGAGTGTCTGAGCTTGAGAAGGAATGCTTGCGCATGAAGCAAGATTTGGAAAAAATGATGAAGTCCAAGGGAAGTTGGAACATGATTCTCAAGAAATTGGGTTGTACCTTAATGTCTAAGCCTTCTAATGCCAAGGTCTCAAAGCCATGCAGGAAGTCCAAAATATCACCTGCATCGACAACACCAATGGAAGAAAAGGCCATGGAAGTGAATTGAAAAGACTTGAAAAAGTTTGAAATGCTTTTTCTTTCTTTCTTTCTTTTTATTAAGTTTTAATATCTCTCCTAGTTACCTCTTTTATCTAAGTAATAATGTAACTAAATGATGAACAGTTGCTTGCGTTATGCTACTTAGACATTAGAATTTTGATAAGGTTTCACTTTTGGGTTGGCCATTTTGGTCAGCATAAATGTCAATTGCTATACCCTCTTCTATGTTTACTTTGTGTTCCTCCATTAATCTCTCTCATAAGATCATTTTTTTTCTAATTTCACAGAAGTATTTTGTTGCAGCCTGTTTGTATAAGATTAGTCTCACTGCAAACCGTGAAAACACACGTTACGTGGTAATTTTTCAAAATAAAATATTTTTTCCTTCCTGCAAATGGAGTTTTGGAATGGAAATGTTCTTAATCTTAAAACTAACAGACAATTGATGAATAAGAACAACTTTCAATTTGGTGAAATGATTTCTTCCATTAAATCGGGAATTTGAATTTTTTGACTCTCAACTTTGTAATTAGTCAAACAAATTTTCATGCTTACACTTCACTTTGGCTTTGATGCTTTTTATTTTTATCCATATTTAAATTTTTTAATTGTTTTAAGTTCATGTTCTCTTATCAAACTTTAAGTAAAGGAATTAAGAAATTATATGCTTCAATATTTTTTTTTCTTACTAAAGGTTTGTTCATTGCAAAATTAATTAGTAATTATTTCTTTATGATGAGTCAAGTTTCCCTGTATATGATGAATCTTGAATTGAGTAATGTGACAATTATCTAACTATGATTTCACATATCCTCTCCAAATTTAAACCTTTGTGTTAACCCTTAAAATTGAGTTTACATTTTAGTATTAAGCACAAAGGTTGCCAAAATACTTGAAGTTCTCATTTATATTTTTTCAACATACAATTAGCCATATAGGATGCAGTTGTACTTTTTAGACATAATACTCTGATTGTTTTCAGTGTGGTAATTTTATTATGCATTAAGGAAAATATTTATCATATTACACGAGATAATAATACCTAAAAAAAAATAAGTAGGATATATTTTATTTTTATTTTTCTTAATGGGTCTTACGCCTTTTTTTATGTGTGGCATGAAATAATAATTTATATATGAGCAAGATGAGAAACATATTTTCTTTATTATAAGTAAAAATTTATTGAAGTAAACACTCCTTTTTTATCCTTTGATGATATTCAATGTCGTTAATTTCGTTTTTTCACAATCAATTTAATATAATTTTAAACATTAATTTGATGAAAAAAATGTGGCACTAAATAATTATAAGTTCATTTTTTCTGAAGTCAATATAGATAAATTATTTACATTTAACCCAAAATAACGTTGTTTTGAGGCGAAAATTAAAGTATTTGTATAATTATAATTTATTTAAAGGTTATAATATTCTTTCTCATTTTAATTTTTTAATCTTTCAATTCAAAACTATGTCGTTTTGGAAGTAAATATAGATAATTTATCTATATTAACTGTTGAAATATTAAAGCCATAATTATATACACTTAATTTTATGCAGATGATATAAAATTGAACAAATTATTTTTAAAAAAAAAATTAACAACTTACATTTTAGTTTATAGTTTACGGAAAATATAAGAATCATGTTGCAGTTCCTGCAACAAGGATCCGCTTTCGTATCTTAAGGATAGGACGTCGTATCTTGATTTTGGTTTGACTTTTTTTTTTTTAAGCGTGGAACCCATACTTGATTTGTATGTGCAGAAAAATTCTCTAATCATGTCACATGACAAAAAGCGAACCCATACTTTAATATTAAAGATACTACCAATTGTTATCAAAAAAAAAAAAAAAAAAAAATACTACCAATTGGTGTTACTAGTAATATGATTTGGCAATTTGCTAACAGTATCCTATCTCATTGTTACGAGTAAATAAGCGAGTAAGAAGCATAAGCATTATTCCCAAAAGTAAACGGCCCAATCTTGTGAAGACACACACGATTGATGAGCCCAAATCAAAATCGAATGTTGTTAGCTAACAGATGTTGTAACAAAACGAAGTTGTCGAGGGAGTGACGAGAAAAAAGAAGCATTCAATTTCAGGTAATGAAGCCCTAATCTCATCGCGTGTCTGTGATTGAGGTTTGATTGATATGTTTCATGTTATGTTATAGAATCTATGCACTCTGTCTGTGCACTGAACATTACATGTTTGATAGAATGTCAATTTCAATTCCAGTAGTTTGAATTGCTGATTGGGTTTTGAGTTAGTTGTGATGTTGAATTTCATGCTCTCACTGGTTTTGTACATCAGGTCCCTTCCCTATTTCTGAGTTCAGAATTGAAACCAAGATTTTGGATACCAAATCTCTCACTCTTCTCTGGCCAATGACTACAATTCAGAGTAAAGCAACAAAGGAAACTGCCACAATTCAGAAATCAGCTTCCTCGTTTAAAAGATTGGGCAGAAAAGGCCCATTTGTCAGATATGGCCTTCCTATGATCTCTCTTACTGTTCTTGGTGCTCTTGGCCTTGGCCATCTCTTGCAAGGCAGGTTAGTGCAAGTTTTTATGAGTTACAACCAGCTGAATATATTGGTACTGAAATTCTTTGTTCAAATTGCTAGTTACTTTTTTTTTATGGTAAGAGGCTGTGTTTTGAAATTAAACACAAGGTACAGGAGGAGAACAAATTGAGTTAATGAATGATAAATGGGTTTCTGAAATTTCATTTCTAGTTATTTTTTTGCTAATTACTTTTGAGCCTTTGGGGTATGTTTGGGAATTGAACAATGGGGACAGGGGAGAACAAATGGAATAATTGAAAATAAGAGGGCCCAAGCATGAGGGAATTTTATTTTGTTCCTGAACATGCAAGTTTATTTTGCTGTGCATTCATTTTTGTATTGAGTTACGTAGTTGATTTGAGCTTATATGACTACAGTAGGACCGGGACATGGTTTGACTCGGCTTGTGAATAACCTCTTACTTTAGTGTTTAGGGATTTATGTAATGAGTTTTGTGTTTTACCTAATCCTTCTTCTTCGAATGCTCATCTTGTTTTATGCCATCCTCCTTCTAAAATATGATGCAACTGCTGTGTCCGCCCAGTAAGGATATTGCAAAGGTGAAAGATGATCAGGAATGGGAAATAATTGAAACAAAAAAAGCACTGTCTAGAACAGGACCAGTCGATGCATACAAGCCAAAAAAGATTTCATTGGAGGATGAGCTAAAGGTCTGTTTTCCCTTTCATTAGCAATTTAATGTAACCAACAATATCCGTAGTTTATTTTTTATTTGTTATTTGTTATTGCATAGGCTTTACAACAAAAGGTGGACATTAACGACTATGAGTACCAGAAAATTCCTAAACCAAATGAGGGCAACTAGGATTGGCGGAAATTCCATGAAGCCAGCAACTAAATATGAATCGTGATCTCTGATAAGTCTTTGCTGCAATGGGCCAACTAGGATTTGCCTTTTTATTTTATTTTTGGTACAAGTTCATTGCTGGGTTTTTTGGTGCATAGTTCCTTTGTATACGTTAAGTTGCAAAACCTAAACTTGAGGTAGAAAGGGTTTTAGTGGAGTCTTTAATACCTAAATATCTAGATACACGTTGGTTTGTAACTAAATGTACTATGTCTTATGTAAACAACCCTCTGTCTAGTTACAGATTGTTCTACTTGATGAGCATTACTCTATCATCGAATTACCATAGACGGTAGACAAAGGAGTAATTTGACCTTGCTGCAAGAGAACGAGAGCCCATAAATGAGGAGAATAGAATGGACCCCACTAAGCAAAAACATGCCCACGTATACTAGGAAGGGGTTTCAATAGATTGGTCATCTTTGATCATGTGACTTTATGAGTGATAAAGATCGGTTACATGTAATTTCCCTAAAAACAAACAACCTAGAGTGCTGCGTTAAGAAACAACAAAATTCCTTAGGACCACAGGAGACCACGCAAAACATTTTTCCTTAGGAAGTGGATACTCTCATGTTAAATTTCACATGACTAGATTATCTGAAATTATATGAGAGGATCCATTCCCATTTTCTTAGAAAAATTATTTTTTAAAAGTGAATTAGCCTTTAAAGCGACTAAGTATATTTTCATAGGGCAAGTAACGAATGTTTGTTGTTTTGGTTTGATTTTACTTTTCTTCCATAAAATCCAAGTAATTCACGAGAATAAAGAAGACAGTCGGAACTCTACCAAAAAAAATGAAAAGTAGGAAAAACAGTAAATTCCTCTCTTTTCGTTTAACCGTTCTGAATACATACGACATATGCATATTTTAATAAATAGTGTATATAAAAATAAATTTTTTAAATTTTTGTTATCAAATGTTTTATTTATTTATCATATTTTATTTCATCCATGATAAATCAGCTGCTTATTGCTCTTACAGTGGCGCAGGAAGCAACCTCTCTTGTTTACCAGCAAATAGAACTTGATTCTTGTACACTACGCGTGTAACATTTGAACCGCAGATTAAAAAGTAATCAAAGTTCAGGTCAATCGATTTAACCCCGGAAAAATAAAAAGTCCCCATTTGTTTTAAGAATCATCAAAAATTAATTCTATGTTCTAAAGATAACTCCACGTGTTTGGCTACTTGGGTTTTCAGAACCAATTTATGCTATGAGTTAAATTAATTTTGAGAGAAGTGAAAAGTTTCAACTTCAACTTTTCATTGAGTAAAAATGATTCTAGGTGTGCGACCTACAAATGTTTTAAAAACATACATATAATAACACTTCGAAAGTGATTATATTTTACGGATAGATTATTTTAGCTATCATTTTTTCTATCTACCTTTGTCTACCACTTTAAAAGACCGTTAGATCAGGATTTAACGAGGAGAGAGAAAGATAAATATTAATTAAGATTCTGCTCTAATGGTCTTTTAATTGATGGACAAAAGTAGGCAGAAAAAATAATAAGTAGAATAACCTATCCCTATATTTTATACCCATAAAATATCAACCCCAAACACAAAATTAAGACATCCAGAAGACAAATTACTCAATAGCAACTTCTAAAAGAATTGAAAACATAATATTATACCGATGAGATCGTCCCAACCATTTGCACAATTACAAACTTTATACCCAGGTGTCCCAGAAAAAAAAAGGCCATTCTTGATTCTTCTTTATGTACACCACCCTCCCAAAAACGACATGATTAGAGGAAAGAAAAGTGAAGACAAAAAGAAAAACCTTAAACCCCCCAAAATAGAAGAAACATAAAGTAGTAAATTCCTATCTACTTCCCTTTTCTCCATTGGTTATAACCCTTCCACCCTTTCCTCAACTTTTATTCATTTATACATACATATATATATTAAACAACAAAATCACAGCTCAAAGAAAATCTTCTGTTTATCTCTCCCGTTTACCACCCTTGCCCAAAAAAGGGAAAATCACTGGAAAGGCTTGCTTTGAAGATGATTTTCACAAAATCCCTTTTGAAATTAATTACCTTGGGCTTGGTTGTGATCTGAATGACAACAGTGGCTGGAGAAGCCTCTGTCCTGATGGACTACCTAGTAACATGGCCTGAGATCGAGTTAGCATCTCAGCCATTGATGGGGTCTGATATGCCTGAACAAGACTTGACCTATCAGTTGAATCACCTCTTGCTGTTGCTCTTTGCCATGAGTGTGAACTCAATCCTGAAAGTATATATGCTCTCCCAGATGCTTCATACACATGCCTACTCGCCATCCTCTCTTGCATTTCCTTGAGTTCAGCATCCAATGCAACACACAGCCGGTCGTGAGATTTGGCCGAAATAGTCTCTGCAAGCATCTTTCGACAGTTTTCAAGGATTAATACTGCTCCCGTTAGGTCTCCTTGTTCAGCTGCAACACGTGCCTCGGCCATTGCCTCGGCTGCTTGGAGCCTGTTGCGCTGTCTGTCCACTTCAAGTGACATTACAACTTCCCCAGCTATTTCAGGCCTCTCAATCTTTACTTCTTCACTTTCCAATATTGCTGTTTCCTGAGTTAACGGATCCTTGTAAACACATTTGACCTTTATCAATGATGTTTCATTGCCAGATGTAGCTGGGACATTAACTGAAACTAGAAAATCCCTCTCTTCATCAGCATACAGGTCTCCAACATCAATAAAACCTTTGCGTCCATCAGACACCATACGGCTTGGGTAACTTCCTGCTTTAAGTGAAACAATACTGAGATTTGGGTGTATACACTCAATTTCCACCTGCAGCTCCTGCACAACAACACTCAAAAGTCCTCCAATGCATTGTGCAAATGCATCCTGTAACACAGCTTCAGTCTCAATGAAAGAAAATGTGCCACCGGAAGTCTCGGAAATTGAGTGCATTGATGAAGCATCATGATCAGCCCCAAATCCAAAAGTATGCACCGGAATTTGAAATCCTGAATTATCACGACCACTGATGGATATGGGCAGAAGCAACTGGTAATTTGGTTGAGTTTCAGAGCCACTGACAGTGTAATTATCTTGCCCATCGGATAATAGTATTATACTGGCAACAGGATTCTTTTCTTTTCGGTCTTCCATTATCTTAGCACCTTTTCTCAGCCCTTCAGCAATATTTGTACCCCCATTTGCAACCAAAGAATTGACAGCTTGCAATGCTAGTTGCCTCCCAGAATCAGTCATTTTACAAAGCGGAAAGAGGCGGCGAGCTGTGGAAGAGAAAGCAATAACAGAGAGTCGGTCATTAGTGCCTAGGTTCTGTATAACAAATCCCATAGCTCTTTTTAGTAGTGCAAGCTTAGTTCCAGCCATGCTACCACTGACATCAAGCACTGTGACCAAGTCAACAGGAGCACGTGGAGTCTGAGAAATCGGTGTCAAGCTCGCCTGGTTTCTACCAAGGTTTTGTCCTTTGGCTGCAGCAGCAGTAGCTTTGAGATGAACCAAAACTGTGAAGTTAGAATAAGTATTGGGCCCTGGAGCAGCAGACACTTCTGGGTACGTTTTAATCTCCATTGCTTTAACGGCATCAGTATTTTCAGTACTCTTATTGCAAGGGCTTCTCTCAGAAACTGCGGGTTGGTGATTCAAGGATTCATCATCATCAAAAAGGCCTGGCTCAGAAGCCTGATAAAGTGGCACAATATGCCGCCTATTCAAATCTCTCCGAGGATGAGGTAGAGGTAGAGGTAGAGGTAGGCGGTGGACCACAGCCATCAAAGCATCATTTTGGGGCCAGTTTACTGGACTAGGTGAAACTCTGGCAGGGATAGGATCCAAACTGGGGCCAGATAAGGGTATTTCTTTCCACTTTGCTCTGCAAACTGGACATATTTGGTTTCCATGTTTCACATTTGAAGCAATGCAGTGGAAATGGAAGGAATGTGAACATTCTGCAGTGAATATAGCATGGCCAGATCCTTGTTTCATTTTGGTTAAGCATATTGGGCAGGTTTGCTGAAATGGTTGAGAAATAAAAGCTTGTAAGAACATAGTTACTTTTATGTAAATTATTTCACAGATGTTCATGGCTTCATGCAAACAAAGAAAATTCATATGCATATTACTTATGAAAATAAACAGTATATGTGTCAAATATTACTTCTAATTAAAAAAAAAAACAAGTGAAAAATGCAGGAATATTTGAACTCCAGGCACTAATATTTACTGTCAAATAATACATATAAGTAGATATCCTTATCTGTCACATTATCAAGATTAAAGATATGTACTGTTTAACTTTAAATATTACCAAGTAGTTATTCAATAATACTGTTGAACCAAGCTATTCTGACAAGCAGGGGGAAAATAATAAGATGCTTCAAAACATTCCTTTCCCATTCTCATATCCTTTTTCACCAAAAGAAGGTTTAACTATAAATCATAAAATCACCAATAAACAATAGGCTTTTCACACACCGAGATTAGGAGGGATGGTAAAACATCTAATCCTTCAGTCTATTCAGGCAAACCTGAATACTCCTGAAAGGGACTAAAGCATCATTTATTTTGGCCCACAGACATTCCAACCACATAAATTGAGAATTTCTCAAATCAGTTCTACCTTAGTCCTAAAAAACTGCTGATATGACTTGACTAAATGAACAAGCCAACTAATGTATCATATCATGATTGCTTTAAATTAATTAATTAAAAAAAAATGGTCAGCCATAGAAAGGGAAAGAAGGAAAAATATTATCCACAAGAAGCAGCACTGAAGAAGGCAGAGAACAATAATATCAGCTTAAGGAACATCTAAAGCACAATTTATGAGAAAAAAAAAAAAAAAAAAAAAAAAACTTCAAAATCACATATATGTATACAGTGTTGAAGCAGGTCAAGAAAGCACAGCTCTATGAACTACCATGTCGTAACACAATTAAAAGAAACAAAGGAAATAAAATTAGTAGAAGGAATGGAACTAGTAAAATGGAATTTTGGTCCCTAAAAAGTACCCCACTCGAAATAATACGTACAACTCGGTCCTTAAAATTATTCAAACTCGTTTGACATTACTACCCCAACAAATTCAAATAATTTAACAACTAAACCTCACAGTAATTTTAAATCAGGGACTAAATTGCTGATGAGGTATATTTTCAAGCACCAAAATGCTAGTTTGCACTCGATTTAACTATTGTAACTGAGGAATGAAGAATATAAGAAGGGTCAGGGCATAAATAGTGCAGTGTGCACTAAAATAACAAATAATAATTGTTTCCTCAGAAAATATATTAACAACAGTAATTATTTTTCTAAATTCCAGGAACCATTTATGGAGAACAGTAAAATTTCCCGTTTTGCACATAAAACTTGCAGATTCTTGCTAGTCCATTTAATTTCTCAACGCAACTAAACGAAGCAAAGCTTATCAAAAGATTAAAAAGAAAAAAAAAACAGAGAAAGAGAAAGAGAAAGAGAGAGACTTATTATGAAAGCAACAACTAACAAGTGCATAATCAATGAGAGACATAAACCTTGGAGGATTTGCTGGCACTTTTGGACAGCTTCAAACCGTGCAAAGACGGCACCGGCGTGGTTGACCGGGAAGAACCCGTGTCCCAGTTCGCCGGCGAGAGCAGAGCAGCGTCCGACAACCTCTCGGAAACAACCGTGGCAGGTGGAGAATCGTCGTCTAAGGTTCTGGGAACGAACATGCACAGATTGAGACCCAGAGCTACCTTCGCTTTCTTCCATTTGCTTCCCATTTTCGGATCTCTCACACACACACACACACACACAAAATGCTGCAACCCAGAAAGAAAATCCACTAGCACAAGCAAAATCCTCAAAAACAAAGCTCCACCCAACAAAACCCAGATCTCAAACGCTGTAAAGCTTCGAGCTTTGCTGAGAGTCCTTGAAAAATTAGTAAGAGAGAGAGAGAGAGAGAGGGAATGGGGTTTTATGAAAAGTAGAAATGGAGCACGAAAACCGAGGTAGAAGGATTCGACGTTGAATGAATGAATGAGGGTTGTTTTTAATTATGGTTGTTGAGAAGAGAAGAGAGAGAGAAAGGATGGAGCAAGCATTGGTTTAGTTTGAAAGGTAAGCATGTCAAAGGAGGGAGCTTTGGTCGTAGAATGTTGTATTAATTGTTTGCAAGTGGTGTTGTTGTTGTTGTTATTGTGTGCTGTTGTTGTTGTTGACACTGTTTTTGTTGTATGTGTTGGCGGCCATGGACTAGGTCTGGTGCAGAGGATTTTGACCTGTTTTTTTTTTTTTGAGGTTCGCTTTACCTTAAAGACTAAAGAGTGGGTAAAAGCCACAAAATGATTTAACAAAAATAAAAGCACGTTTTGGTTGAATGGGAGAAAAGTTGGGTGCTTTATTATCCTCTTTGCTTGTGTCATATCATCATGTCTTCCTTCCTTTATTGCCCTTTCTGATTCAACTGCTGAGAAATTCTTGGCACAATATATAGGATTCCCACTATTGTGATGTGGATTCTCACATATTATTAGTAAAATTTTCACTAGTTTCTATAGTATGATTTTATCTAAAAATAACTTTATAGCACTCATGTTTATTATGTGTATTTCTCATGCAGTGGGTTTTGATATTTCTTATGAATGTAATCCGATTTTGGGTTACATGTATATAAGTTGTGGAATAGATTATTCAACTTACTTTTTTTACATGCTTATTTTATCTATTATTTTCTATCAATGTTAGATCATAATCTCAAGATAAGAGATAAATAATAAAAGTTAATCAAACTGTGTTGGAGAACAATAGCTAAAAGTAGGTATTAAAAAAAATAGGTAAAATAACTAGTCCTATAAATTATTATGTGTTAATGAGCAGAAATAAATTTTATGATATTGATTTTTAATATCCCAAGTAAATTTATTTCTCACAGATAATTTATATTGTGGTGATACATATTCAATATAACAAAAAATATCTTGCTATAAATTACATAAGAGAGAATAAAAATATTTTTATAATATATAAAAATTATATCCAAAATGAATAGATTTTACTTTTAATTAAACATATCATTTATAAAAGGAAATTATACGATAAGAATGATAATGATGAAATAATAAAATTTAGAAATTAAATAATAAATTAATACAAATAAAAGTTGAAAACTAAATTCTGTTGGATTAATTATATTAAATTTAATAAGTTATAAATTTATCATTTTATAATTGATTTCATGCCCTCAAATAATTAAAAATAGTCACATAGATGTGAGTCATACATATTTTTATTCAAATAGAGATTGGTTTTAGTAAAAAGTACTCAAATTCATTAAATACATAATCTAGAGTTTAATTTTGGAATTTATGTGTGGTTAAAAATATTGTTAAAATGGTTTTTTCAATTTCAACAACCGACCATATTCTACAAAATTAAAAAAATGAAACGAGTATCGTTTTTATTTTTTGGCAGTGTGTAAAATAATGAGTAAAAAATTTCTTTTGTTTTATAGGAAAAAAGAAAAAACTTGTATTGGAGCCACCTGAAAGCAACTTTCAGATCTAATCTAATACAGTAATGTTACTTTTAAGGCTGGGCAGATCAAACACAACTCTGCTCTATCAATTATTGCAATCTATGGTTTGAGGTCAATTACCCTTTAAGCCCCCTTCTTCACCTTTTGTGAAAGGGTCACAAAAGGGTAAGTGGGTAACTATCAATATTAGTGGTTCATTTTTTTATTAAATTTCTCTATGTCTCTTTCCCTTATGGTATGAACAAGTTGTTTAGTGGAAGAAGTGGAAACATGCCATAATCTCTTCTAGAGTCCCTTAATATATAAAATGAGAAAAAGGGCTTGCCCTTATTGGGTTCCATGAACTGGCATGGCCCTACTCTGCATTATGATTGATAATTGTTTGTCATGAGTCAAAATAGTGGGATTTTCTTAATGATTCGAAATATGAAAAAATGTTATTTTTCTTTTAAAATAAAATAAAATAATTCCTCGCATGAGATGATGATAAGTATCCCACACGTGCACATCATCACAGCAGTCGTTTTGTGGTGCCCATGTCAACCCTGTTGACATTAGTGCCTGCCAATAGATCTCATCACATGTCTTCCATTTTCTTTTATTTTTCTTCTATCTTTTTCTTCTATGTCTTTGTTTTCTTTATTGTTATATATATATATATATATATATATATATATTGGTGGATTCTTTATTGTTATATTTATTTTCGTTAATGAAATCACTTTGTTGCTTTTTAAATATCAAGTTGGTTCAATGCTTCAATCAATGGTAAAAATGATTTAGCAGGTTGACTAAAAACTATGATTGTATTCGACCCAGATGTTTGGCGTGCAAACTCTATAATTACCTAATGCATAGAGCACTGTTTTTAGTTTTATATTATCTTATTTTGTATTTACCTAATGTACTCAAATTAAGGGAAGAGTTAGAAGATAATTGATATGTCGAACTGGTCAAGTCAAATACACATTAGGGAAAGGTCCACTTCTTTCCTCGATTAGTGTGTCAAGCTATTTTGAGGAAAATATTTTAAGTACTCTAGTCGAATTCATTACTCAGTCAGTATATCCAATTAATAGAAACAATACATTAAAGAGGTGTTACGCAGAGTACGAAATTTTTTTATCAAGAAATTATAATTATTGAAAAATATGGTGGGAAAATAATTTTTTTGATAAAATTAAAAATTATTTAGTAGGTCAAAATATTATCGAAAAAATTAATTTAAATTTTCTGAGTCTATATTTAATTAAAAGTAAAATAAGAAAATAGGTTGAAATTACCAAAGTAATCCTTGGTTATCAAATTTTGGTATGTTACTTTAGGAATATTTGTGTCTAAATTTTCGCTATCCAATTTTTTATTTCCCAACTAAATCAAAACATCATCCTTTGCGTAGTATTCTCAAGTGGTAATCAAAATAAAATTGTACACATAATATCACATTCTCATGCAAATTAGAATCTTAGGCAAATTTTTTTGAAAAACTCTACCCAACATAATTTTCTTTAAATCTCATGTAAATTTTGCCAGACTACAAAATAAAATTCCCCTGCTACACACACCCTAATCCTAAATGTTGTCATTAGGGGTGATAAACGAGTCAAGGGCCTTTGACTCGGCTCGTGAAGGCCTGAGCTTTAATGCCTAATATTGGTTGTTCGAATCAGGCTTGAACTTATATAAAAGCTCGTTTAGTAAGAAGGCCTCATGCTCCAATTCAAAAGCTCGACCTTGGAGCCTCTCAGGCTGGCTTAGTACATTAATTTTTATTTTTTTTATTTTTTATACTATTTATAATAACCCTCTCTCTCCTCTCAATCCATTTCACCTATATTTTATTAATTAAACAGACTTTTTGAATGATTTTGTTCTATATTATGCTGTTTGGATATACATTGAATTTATGAATATTTATGGAATCACCAGTGTTGTTGATTGTATATTCTGTTTAGATAAAAAAAAATTGTCTTATTTTTTTCTAACAGACTAAATCAGGCTTTTATTTTTTGTAAATAAAGCAAGTCACAGGCCGATAATTATATTCATCACAGGTAACAGGCTTGGTAAAGCCGACGCATTTAAATACAGACTTAGCCTTTTAAGACCAAAACTCGGCTCGGTTCGGCCCGTTAACACCCCTAGTTGTCATGTCAGTGCTGATTACAGAGAAATTTTTTATCACCATCAGTAATTTATTTATAATATATATGTCTCATTTGGAATGATAATAGTACCCGTTACTGTATGAACGACGAAAGCACCTAAAATGCTCTCTATTCTGGGATGGTTTATTGCTGTTGAGTTTCAATTGATGTATTAAATTTTACAGATTCATTCTAAATAAATAAATAAGAATTAATTTTCATATAAAATTAAGCATGAATGTGTATATAAATATGTGATGCTAGTATCATTTGAAAAAATGGTATTAATTCTAATAAAATTTTGAATAAAGTTAAGGGATTCCATTTGTTTTATGTTAAACATTATTTATTATAAATGATTATTAGTGTTGCATTTCAATCTCTGAAGTAATGTTATTAAACCTGGAAAACATCGACTTCGTCGAAGTATTGGATCATTGGTTCAATCGTGTGATCCAAATAAATATATATAAATTTATTTTATATTCAAAATTCCTTCATAATAACTTCTATGTTGTCTAACAAAATCTATAATTATATCTATCTAAAATTATCTAAGATTATGTCTGGCAACAAATGCAATGATTGGTTTGCGAAACAAGGTCTTGGCATGAAAGAGGATATCATCATCTTCAACTAACCTTTTCCTCAAATGATTAATTCACTAGATGGAAATTTACTTATTTTTTATAACTATAAAATTCTTGCATCTCTGTGATTAATTTTTTTAGGTTTAAGTCCTCCATAATTAGGGAAAAAATAAAAATAATTATCCACAGAGTCGATATTAAAAAATAAAATTAATATCTCTTTTCAAATTTCAAATTAGCTTTCCCATGTGTCTTCTATGTCTTTATGCGTTCAAATTTCAATCAAACTTATATAGGGTTTTCAATTTCATTTTTTTTAACTTTAAATGTTTAATCGTGTTTTGTTTTTTGTATGATTGGTACGTGTATTTGTGAGTTGAAAAATGGTGCACTACAGTTGAGAGATTTTGCATTTGGTCGTTGCTTAAAAAAATATGATGTTTCACTTTAATTAAAAAAAATATGTGCGTCCCGATTGGGTTAACAAAAATCGATCGGGTCAATGGTTTTGACAAAAATTAACCGAGTCAACCTGATTCTCATCAGGTCTATTGCATGACCGATCCGTTGGCTATCTCAAAAATTAGATCACCATTTTACTGATTTTCGGGTCAATATCGAGTTGGGTTTTATAATAGTGCTCTAAAGCACATCCAATACATTAGAGAAATTACATCTATAGAAACATATTGTAGAATAATACGCAGGCAATCGAATTTAGAGTACACTTTTTTTTGGGAGTAAAGTCCCTTTTGGGTCCCTAATAAAAAATATGGTTCCCACTTTCGTCTTTTAAAAAAAAACCATATTAGTCATTTTTCAGGGACTAAATTGGGTCTTCATT